ATGCAATTCTTCTTTTGTTGTGTGGTATCTGCATTCTGGAGCTGTAAGTGTATGACTCACCTATGCTATTACTCATTCTATTCCACCCTGCAACTGTGATAGTTCTGCCCCAATTCCACTATCATCAGTATCTAACATGAACTCACAATCCGGCTAAGTATACGTCATCACACGAACTTACACTAAAGATGCTTCAAGGACAGGAATGTGTGCTCACACTCCTCAAGCTGAAATACACAAAAGACTTAGTGGCAGCACACATTTGTGTAGCAGTCACCGAAAGTATCAATAATACAATGTGAACCCAAAGAAAGTTTTAGCTTCTTACATCTCACAGGTAGAGGCCAACTTGAAACTGATGCAATCAGTCATGATGCCTTCTCTACCCACAATATGAAATTCTACTTGTGTACATCAGCAAACACTTTCTGGGTCTTAACTTTAATACTGTCATTCTCATCTATGCAAAACAACAGTGAGGATCGTAACACAGACTTGAACATTTAAAATTATCCAAACTATCATCTACATATACCAGACATCTCTCATTGTAAACCTTTAAGTGTAATGCTCTAGTTTCTCAAAAGTAGTCAGAGTATTATGCAGACCGAATGGCATGACTTGAACTGAAACAAACCATTTTGGATGCTAAACGCAGTTTTAACCCTGCTCCCACCATCCAGTGGATATACCTTTATCTGGAAGCCAGGTCTAGAATGCTTAACCATTGGGCACCTTCAAATGCATTCAGAATTTATTTTGTTTTAAGCAATGGAAAGTCATTAATGTTTGTCACGTCATTCCCCAGCAGAAATCAACACAGAACTTGGTCATTCCATAATTCTTTCTTACAATCACCCACTGGAGATGACTATAATTATCCCATCCTTTATTATCCACTGTATCTCTAATGGGTATATTTCCAGTGCTTCATAGAAGCCTACACAGTAGTGGCTTAATTAGATTTGCATTTCCTGTTTCTATGTAATGGTGAACGATTGCAGTTAAATATTTAACTGGCTATTTTATTCCACAAATGCATTTGTGTAATAAATCAAACGTTGAATGAGATTTTGCTACTGTGTTGAGTCAAGATTGCTGCAACAATTCTGAATTAGTGACTTCAGATTCACTGGTAACCAAGTTTTCACTTTCAGCAGCACTAACATTACACTATTGGTCACTTCCACTTCACTTGCATTTCCTCCATAATTGCAAAGCAACACTGAGACTTTGTCCATAATTGACGGATCACTATCCATGCTACTGCTGCTTGTCTTTTGGATACAAAACAATGTTTTGTACACTGGCTTGACAGGTATTTTAAAATGTGAACTGTCAATCTCATCCAATATACACTTGCATACACAAAGGTATTAATGTTCCCTCCACAAAATAAACATAAGCAGTCCACTGTCCATGGCTCAGTTCTGACAGGCACTGAATACCTTTCTTACCAATCTCACCAAGTTAGCAGAGCTTCTACAGTATGTCCATCCCAAGGATTCTAATGCCAGAACTGAGGTCTGCAATGAAAATCCTCATTCTGTGTTCACATGGCCTATCTAGATACAGACAGAGATAGGCCTCTTCATTTACCTCTAGCATACCACCATTCACTGGAACAGTCAGTGTTTACTGGCTCGAATGATAGCTTTACTTGGAATGCCTGATACACAGTGGTATCCACTAGGGTCTTTGAAGGTCTAGTGTTAACCAAAATCTTCATTGTCCTACTGAGTATTCTTGCTGACAGGTACCAAGCACTACCCATCCTTAAAAGAGCTGGGTTGACCAACATATCCTGTTGATAGCCATACCAAACTCACGCCCCATTAGTTTCCTGAGAGCAGTTACATCTCACTGCACCTGCTGTTAAGTCAGACAGGAGAGTGTTACATCTATCTTGCTGTGTAGCAAGATGTGGTCAATTTGTATGGAAATGCCTCAGTAGTCAACTATTACAGTGTATGATTTGGTTTTCTTTTCTGCAGCAACATCTATGGAGGGGCATTTGCTGCAGCACAAACATCAGGGGAAAGCTTGGACAGCTGTACCCATTTGCTGGGAACTAGCTCGTCTATGTTATAACACTAGGAGGTATTGATTGTGGTTCAGCAGAGCCCAGGCTCGATGGGAAGCACCAGTTTGAGCATGTCGTATTGTAATTAAAGGAACCACCACAGCTACTATCTTGTAATTTGTCTGAAGTGAAAACCTCAAAAAAAATTATCACAGATACCATCTCATACTCCTAGGCGATGCCTCATGGTTTCACTTTGGTGTCCCATGACAACCTTGCTGACAAGGATGTCCTTTGGATCTGCCCAAACCATTGTACGCGTGGAAATGACACAGTTCACCTGCCAAGGCACCCAAGTTTTCAAAAGGATCCCTTGTGCAAGTCATAAACTTCAATACTTTTCAAGCTGAACTCACGATAGCAGAATGATAAAATCCTGGCTACATTTTGTCCATGGGGAAGAAGGCCTGCTTAACCCATGGTTGCCCCACAGCCTGTGATTGTCTTCACAACTTGCTTTTTTCTTGGGGAGAGTGTCTACTGCTCCACATTTCATCCTTCTTTTCTGTCTCACCAAGGTGTTGGCAAGTCTCCAGACACCCAATCAGAAAAAGTATAAACTCTGCAACAGTGATATCTTTGGCCAAGACAACAAAATTTCTCTTTCTCTATGTGGTATTTTCCAGCATATGAATTTCCCACAGAGTAGGACTTCCTATTGTTCTGGTCCACTTTTATTTGTTGTCACATATACTTTCTTGTTGGAAGGATGCTCCAAAATAGAACACACTACGTAAAGATAGAACAATATTTTCAACTGGTTGGTCAGGTGATAACTATATGCAAGTTCTTTTAACATTTATTAAGAAATATGGCTATTATCAATATATCAACTATCTTTGTTACAAAGTCATAACTTGATTGTATCTTTGTTAAAGGATTGTTTGTAGTTTTTACAAGGGGTGAAAGCAGCTTACACCACTTTCACAAACAATATAAAGTTTAAAATTAGAGATAACTAAGAATGAATTGAAAGTGGATATGTTTTTTTTAAGAACAAAGCTACACAAGTAGGCTATCTGTTCTGTGCCCCTTCATGGGTATCAAAACTCATTTCCCAATTTGCTCCTGAAGAAGAAAGGTCTACCTTTCAAAAGCATTCAGGTTATAGGGTTTTTATTTGTTTCTATCAAGACTAATTGAACCTACGTGTTTTTCTAACAACCTGAAAACTCGATTCTTTTAGCATTATAAGCCCTCATACCTATTACCGAGCCCCAGGGGGCAAAGGTGAAAAGAAAGAAGCATGTAGCATGCAAAGTATATCCAGTGTTTTCCATCTTCTTTAGTAAGATGACCATTTTATGTTCACTTAGAAGTTTCAAAAATTTTTGCAAATGGATATTAGAACAAACCATCCTAAGCTGGAGTAGTTTTTTCTGTTGGTGAGTAAGATGCTACCTTGATAATGGATTTTCCTTTATTTTCTATTGGAATGACCGATACTAGCCCATGCACTCCATCTGTAGATAGTGGATAGCCTTTCTAGTCTGGGAATAATACTGGCAGTCTTTAATAAAATACAGATCTCCTCCTGGCAAGATTTCTTTCCAATCCCTAGATGGAAGAGTTACCTGTTATCCTTGACTGTGTTGAAGTGAATAAAGATTACTTTCCTTTTATTTTACATTATATTGAGTCTTTTTCTTGCTTCAAACTCAAGAGAATTCCCAATTACTCTAACTATTGTGGTTACTGCTATCTCCAGGGTTATTAGTACATCTAAGAATATCACACTATCTCATGGCTCTTATATAGCTGTTCAACATCATTGTACGAGGAAAGTTCATGGCTATAAGGTTATCAATGAATTCAATGTGTACTTGGCAAGCATGAAATGCAAGAACAGTTGTGACACTTCCAGAAACACCATGACTGACTTGTACAGTGAAGATTTCAGTTACAATTAATTATTGTTTTAGCTTATCTTCCTTTAAGTTCGGATTCATGTTACAGTTTTACTTAATCACTATACTTATTTATTCAATTTCATTTGCATATCCATTTATCAAGGTCTGCTTTTGTAAATAAACATTTTTTATATAAAAGTCTTCTCTTTTGAATAAGTAGAGTTGTTTAAACAACTCTGTTGTTTTTGTGAGTGTAAAACACTTAAATACACCAGTCTTCTCTTTTACTTAATCTACCATCAAGCTTTACCACGTTAATCCTTTTGCCAAACAGATCTTCAGTCTTTAGTTACTGTGTTAAATGGCTTTTTATATGTTCCAAACCCCAGCTTGAAATATAACATACCTTCAATTTTGAAAAAATAAAAAAGTTTAAGACAGTTATCAAATTCTTCTTAAAAGTGAAAGATAAATAGCCTAAGTTGTAAAATTTATCTCTTAAAAGAAAACAGTGAAAATGTAGTTTTATTATTGTCTCCTTTAAAATAGTATTTTCAAACACAAAGCAAGTAAGATTGCCTTCTGTTGGTATCAACTAATTTCTTGATAGAATGATCCTAAACTAAAACAATGGTCATTTTTACTTCATTTTTCTTCAGCAGATACTGGGGAAAAACCAATTTTAATTTTTCAGATAGTACAAGGTTTAAAGAACTGAACTCCGTTTCTTCTCTGAAAAGAGTGGGTATATTATAAAAATATCAGGTACAACTTAAAAACAGTGGTGTCATTTCTGAACAGATCTACCATAATGTTAGATACATGTGTTCAAAATGTGGTATTCTTTATGTTGAAATCTTGTATTATTCAATTATTTCTGACATACTCATAAAAATTATGTTGTCTTTCCTAAATTCTTTTAATAGTATCATTGGATATAAAACAGTTAGAAGTTGAAAATAAGTTAATGTTTCAATATAACCAGTATGGCTATTTTTTTTTAATTTAATAACCAAATAATATGTACATTTACAAACTTACTAAACTAAAATAAGAAGGATGAAGCATAATTACAATTTTTGGTTTATTAAACGAATGAAAATACTTTTTCACAAAAGGACTGTCATGATTTTTTAACCCTTAATTATGTTATGAAGATACAGCTATGCACAGATGATAAGTTAGTTCATGTGATCAAATAATGGCATACTGTTCGTAAAGCAGGTCTCTCACTTTGTAATAATCTTCACATAAGCATCCTTCTAAGTTGATCCGTCCTGCTTCATTCTGTCAAGTAAAATAAAAACAGATTAACTGCAACTATGTTATATACTACAACAATCAACACTATAATAGTGAGTAGGTCTAATGTGACTTAAATGAGACACTAAAGAACTCTCTTGCACCTCTTCATACACTACATGGAAGTATTAAAACTAAAACTATTACATTTGTGGGTATTTTCTTAATTAACTAAAAGTAATCAGTCTAATTTTAATCCTAGGCATATCATAATTTGTTTTACCTGTTTTTACCAAGTTTTACCTGTTTGACTACAGACTCATTCTTTATGAAATCAGAAATTAATTTGATTGGTGGGTCACATGCACACATTGTTAAATATTCAATACTTAGAAAGGAAAAAAAGCTGAAAATAATCATTATTAGTATGTACAAGACATACTTCATTAAAAAGTTGGGTCTATAAGAAAAATTACACAATAGAGACAGACAGTTATATTGTTTTATTTAGCCTTATGCAAAAATTTAAGAAGTTTCTATTTGCAAAAATGAGCCCAACTATTTCTTAAAACCTAGCTAAAACAATTTTCACAAATCATCTGATGTTTAATATTTTTTGATAACAGAATATAGAATTACAAACCAATCATGTTGCAATTCCTTTGAAAATAAGTCAAACTTTGAATTCAAAAAACTGATCTTACAAGTGTTTAACTTCATTTTTGGAAAATACATCAACTATCTATTCATAAAAGCAGCAGCAAACAATATTAATACAATTACCTTGAACAACTTTTAACATTTAAACCTTTTAGGTCAAGCAGACAAAAAATGGAACATAGCAAAACTCCCCACCATATATTAACAGAATATTCTCGCAAATGTTTAATACTCAACTATAAAAGCAAGCATCGATATGTTAAAGTTATTTAAAACATTTTTTGTGTTAGTACAAACTTACCTTTCTGATTGCTACCACACTGTTACAGTAAAGAACACCTCCAGAAAACTCAGCTTGAATACCATTCCGAAGTAAAACTTGCTTGAAGTCAGAAAGCTTTAGTTCATTAATAAACATTGATGGATGTCCACACACCTAGCAATACAAAGAAATAGTAATCTATTTTTATGATAGTGGGAAGAAACTTTTCATTATCAAATAATCTATACTATTATTCTGCTCGTTTGTATGCACGACCATTACGCTTGCCGACCGAGAACCTACTGCATGAGCATGTTTAGTTAGAATGTTTTCCCAAGAAAAACCGCTCATATGCATTATTCACTCGATGACAAACAGTCTGCCTGTGGCAGAGAGCTGTAAAGCTCAGTGATCAAGTCGCTACAATTGCTGTATGAAACAAGAAGTAACAACAAAAGGGGAATGTAAATATACTTTACTAACTATTTAGTACAACAGAATATTAAAAAATGTTTGACGTTAGGTCGTAGAATAACATTATAAGTTTATTTATCGACAGTATTAAGTACAGTAAAGTTTAGTCCTAACTAAACTAAAGTAAATAAATAAAAAAAACGTACACAGGTTACAGTGTTAATTTATCTCTTAATCGAACTTAGGCCTAACATAAGTTAAAGTTTTATAATGTGCGGCCTATGTACAAGTGGATTTACAATGTTTTGTGGATCTCTGCTAGTCCAACTATTAAATTTACAGGACAACAGACATGAATATCACAACTTACTTGTGAAATGTGGAGGTAAAATAAAAACAATTGATACAGCTAAGTAAGAGTATACATAGTGTTAAACACTTATGTTGACATCCTGATTTTGTTACCGAAGTGACAATAAAAGGTAATAAATTTTGTTTGTTTGTTGAGAATATGACAACTAAATTTAAAGTAGCATTTAAATTTGTATTCTTGAAATAATAAGCGAGGCATTACAAAATGTGTTTGTTTCAATACTAACTAATAAGTAAATAAAGGTATCTATTATAATAATACTCAATTTTTTTGTGTCCTGAAAATGCATATGCACCTTACTATCCAAATGTGCATGCTCATGCTCTTCATTCCAAAAGGATGTAAACAAAAAACAAATTCAAACATACTTTAGTAGACATTTTGTAGAACATATCAAAACCTTATCAAAGTTTCTAAAAAAGATCTAACAGTAGGTCATAGAATAACATTATATGTTTATTTACTGATAGTATTAGGTATGATAAAGTTTAGCACTAAGTAAATTAAAGCAAAACATATACACAAGTTACAGTGTTAGTTTACCTATGTTATAGAATACAGGCTGTATTTAATAAAGGCTTAACTAACGGTAGGCCTAAAACAAGAGGACTTCAACTAAATTTCCAGATGCCTTGCCAATCAAGATACATTCTTACATTCAAAAACTTTATTTTTCATTTTTTTCCTGAACAACTGTAGTTCATTATACATTATATATATATATATATATATATACTGAAAACAGTAAATATTGGATCACACTTTCTACTAAAGATTTTATCATAAATATATATACTTTTTTTTACTAGTACGAGTGTAAAGTCTCAAATTTCAATTGTATGATCTTAAAGCTTCATAATTAAATTTCAAACATTTTTTTATAAACTTCATGTTTTATCAGTTATTTCCTCTACCTTTCTATACAGGGCTGGTCAATTTGACTGACCTTGTAACCGCTAAAAAAATAAAACAATCCGAAATAAATCTAAGTTACCCCTTTTTCTTTCTAGAATGACTTTAAATTGTAACATGAAACTACATTTGTTTATCCTAAATAGTTACACAGAGAACAGGTTTGATGAATTCAAAAAAACAAGGTCCTGAACTATGTGGTCATAGTGAATATAATTCAGTTCAGTAGTGCATCCGAGTGCACAACTGTTGCCATGATGATGATGGAGATGCAAAGGATGCTACACTATCACCTAAGGATAAATTCAGAACTGAAGTATTTTTCATTGTGGTTGACCAACTTGTCACTGCAATGAAATACCATCTTGATGCATGTACGGATGTTGCCACCAAATTTGGATTCTTTCCCATATTATCATTTCTTTCATGTCAAGAAATCAGCAAGCTGTAAAATGTCTTGTCCCTTCTTTTACAAATGATGTTGAAACTTAGATAGAAAATGAAATGATCCACTCTTCCACATTGGCAATTTCAGAGCTTTGATGTTCATTCACACAATCTGAACCACCAGAATCAGTGGAGTTAAGAATGTTCCTTTTTCCCCATTGACTTGCCCTTATCCAAACATTTTCTAATGTTGAGATAGTACCGAGAATATACTTGTTGATGATGGTATCAAACAAGAGAGAGCTCTGGAACAGAATAGGACAAAGCCGACTAAACAGTCTGTCTATAATGAACATAGAATGTGACATACTTTGAAAGCTAGACTTTTTGAAACTCATTAGTGAGTTCAGTTATAATAAAGCCGGAAAAAGACAATTCTAGCTTTAGACAGGTACATGCACGTTCTAATCGAGTTGTATTCATGAGTGTATAAAATGTGTTTGGTTTGAATATATTGTTTCCAGTGTTAAAAAAACTATGTATATCATTAAAATGTTCTCATAACATTTTACAATTCTTTTCTGCACATGTAGTACATTACATTCAAAATTTAATTAAACCACTTTACTAACAATATATGTCAATTAAATTAACATTATAATATGAATTTTTATGTTATCTAAGTTTTAATTACTTTGTTTCAAAGGAAACCTTTCAAAAAAATATTTAAACTGCAGTTCTCATGTCATATGATCCAGGAGCTATAAAAAATCTCGACTTTAGCAGTGGTTCACTCACAGACACATAAGCTAGCAATGTACACAAGTATGTAGACACTACGTACTTGTGTTTGGCCTATTTGACAAGTGATATTCAAAGTCTGTAACTGCTTTGTATGGAAAGCAGATATAAATTTTCAAACCCCCTGACAGGTACCACACCCACCTTCTATACTTTGCCTTGAGATCTACAACGTACATGCAGTTAGTTGACACAAGTGTATATAGTCCTTAGAAAAAGCCCAGTTTTCACTATACTCTACTAACAGTTAATTTGAAATTAGCATGTAGTTTTCCTTACATTGTACATGTAACTGCCATTCGTATTGTTGTCTGCTTGATAAACTATAGCACATTATGGTGGTTTCTTACCTAAATATGCTACAGTAAGAGAGACAGTTAAACTGTATTTAGGTCTTACTTTTATATTTTAATTACTTATGTATTATGTTTGTTTTAAATATCATACTTGAACAATTTAATGATTTTTATAAGTTTAACTTGTCACCTGGATTGTGAAAGATTATCAACAAGATGGCATGTGTAAGTGCCATCTTGTTCCTGCAAAGCATCTCTGCAGAGAGTCTGCCAAAATAACCTTGTAAAGCCCTCCAGGCATCAGTTAATGTATGGGCATAAATGATAACAGACAAAGCATTTGAAAGTAAAATTAAAAATAAACTATAAGTGACAAGATAAATTACGCATACAAAAAATACAACTATTCTAGTGGAATTCTACGAAGAGTTGAAAAGCATGTCAATATTTCCATTTGTCAATTTTAAACATTTCATTGCATTGTATGTTGATGATAATAAATACAGTTAGTGATATAGTAGAGAAAATGGAAAATAAAATATAAATATTTACCTTAAATAAAGTTTATGTTCACTTATGAGGCCCTAGAGATTATACAAATGAAATGTGAAAACTGTAAGTAAAAAATATTTTATACCTCCTATAAAAAATCACCTTGCAGGTGAACTATTCAGAACCTGAGTGCAAATAACTATATTAGATAATGAATATCTGTTAGAAATAGTAGAAAAAATTAAAAAATTTTTTTCTCAAACTACATACTTTTAGGAACGCTTAGGAACAATATGCTTTACACTAAGGGTAGTAACAAAGCACTAAAAACAGTGCAATTAAATTTATATGAATTTTTAATGCAATTTTTTCATCCATTTACAGCCTTAATAATATAAAATTATATTAAAAAGTAAATGACAAGATAATATACAACTTGAGTTCTAGAAGAATAATAGTGTTAACCTTTTAATTAATTCTTTCTCTATTAAAAAACATACCAGAGATGTTGGTAAAGGCTGAAGTGTTGGAATAAGTTCTCTAGAGCCTGTCTCTTCTAAAAAGAAAAAAAAGTTACTCAACGATTTTTGATCACATTTATCAAATGAGGTTTATTGTTAAAATATCCTAAAACAATGTCTTATTTATGCTGGGCTGATATGGTTAAACACTCAGAACATTATTATTAGTCTAAATATAACTACAGAAAACAATATATATATATATACTTTTATCTAAAATTCTTTTGATTGTGTTCATTATATGCTGTAAAATAAACCAGGAGTGCCCAAACTTTTAAGCCTGGTGGGCCATTTATATTTCTTGAACAAAACAAAGAGTCAATATCTTTACTGCTTCACCCTCACCCATACCAGTTTAAATTCACTACAATGCAACAAAGTCATTTACACCAGCAGTACTTTCTCACACGTGGAGAAAATGTAACCTGCATTATAAAAATATGTCTATTTACAGTGGAAGCCAGGGGAGATATATATGGAAATCAAACACAATGTATTTTTTAATTTGAAGTTTCTATAATGGATTTGTATACTATTCTGTGGGCCAAACCAAGTATTGATGTAGTTCATAGTTTGGGTATCTATGCACAAAACACTATTGAAGCTCACCTTCTTCCACTTCTTCCTTTTCTTTCTTGAGTTCTTCCTTCTCAAGATCAATAAGGTACTCATCTTCCACCATCACAATCTCACCATCAACCCAAGCTAGTTCTGCTTCTTTAGCCCTGGCAAAGTTCAGTGAACTAACCAAAGAATCTTTTAATTTAACCTGTAAAGTAAGAATGCAGTTACAATTAGTTCAGTAAACTAAACATCGTTAAATTTCGTCTGATGGTAATTTTCAAAGCCTTATGATTCACATTATGAAGGTGTACAGGATAGAAGAAATGCACTGTCATAAAGTAAAATACTGGCAAAAACCAAAATCTAAGATAATTCCCAAAGGAAAGCAATATCTGAAATATAAGAAAAATACTTTACTCATACTTATTATTTGGGTTTACTTATTTCAAACACATCAAATGGCTTAAAGAAAAATAACCATTTTCCTGTAAAAACTGAAATGGCAACCACCTGTTGGTTCATTTGTTTTGTATATTTCTTTAAGGTGAAATAAGGGCTATCTGCATAACTTGTTCATAATTTTGAGCTGACAGACTAGAATGAAGGCAGCTGGTCAACTCTTGGGCTACTCTATCAAATAACTGCCGTAATATGTAAATACCATATTTCTCACTCTTCTATAGTGTACATTTCTTACCTACAAAATTCTTAATTTTTTCTATGTTCAAATTGTGGTATATACAAAATCTATTTGAGATCATATGCAAGATTGCAGCCCGAGTTGTTACTTTTTGTAGCTTGTATAGTCAAGGAACTTATCTATTTCATGGGATAGTTGCACTGTGTCCTCCTTCACCTTGTGCATGGGGGATATCTTTGCTACCATCATATGAAACAGACACTTCCACATTTTGGTCTCTATTTTCTGATTGGTCAAATACAAACTTTATTTTGTGTTTGCACTTTTGAGAAAATCCTGATTTTTATCTATAAGGAGAGCACTAATTTCTGTCCTGAGAGCCAAGACTTGCTGGTTTAATTTGTTTCCTGTGTTCATTTTTCATCCACCCCTACTGCTGATTGTGTAAGTTAAGTTACCTTACTCTTTAAACACAATTAATTTTACCTCCTAACACTACATCATAAGGCAATAGCTGTTACTCCCCTTGGAACAACAGCAATTCATCTGTTAAATAAAATGTTTATATTAATCGATCTTCAAAACCATGTCATGTCTCCTTCAATCGGCTGACAACAAGTGATTTACTGCACTTTTCCTTCCACATATTCAATCCATGTACAGGTAAAATCATGGATTACCACACCCCAAAGAGCAAAGCACAATTTTTTTCAATATGGTTACACTACATGAACCAAGGACCCAAGATCCACAATCCATCTCCCAAAACAACAAATACCTGACAATCATTAAAATTTATGAGTTAAAACATATTCAGAGTATTTCATTTACCAATAATAAAAGTGTCCTCACCTGATATATATGGCTTTCTGTTGTGGCATCTACCCATTCATATAGTTTAGGAATAAATACTTTGCCTTGCACTAAGCCACTATTTTGACAGTAACTGGCAAGGCTGTCTATAGCTGTAGGACTCCCTCGTACAAGAATTAAGCGACGAGGTTTACACATGGATATGATCTTCTTAATGGACTCTGCATCTGACCTTCCTTCAAAGTCAATAAACTGCACAGAAGCATTAATATCTAAAGTCTGACTGACAGCAACACATTTTGTAGGTACTTCGGTAATGTCTAGACATAAGAAATACAGAAACAACCTCCAAGATTACAGCTGTTAATGAAAGAAAAGAGGGCAAGGGGAGATGATGCCACAAGTATATTCTAATCTATTTCTTACATAAAATAGAAAACAATATATAATAAAAAAAAGACAATTTCAGGGATGAGAATAAAAATAATAAAACATATAGAAACATTAAATCTTCAAACAATCAAAGGGGTATAGTGTGAGCCTGTCAATTTAAACTTTTTATTTTAAGTGAAAAGTAGCTTTGCACATTTTCCAGTACCCAGAGTTAAAGAAAAAGTTCAATAGTAACGATAGACAATAGATATCATATACCTTGAATTTACACACATACACAGTTTGTATAGGAGCAGTACTTTCATTATCAAATCTATTCTGATTCAAGAAGTTAGCACACAGGATTACATACAAAAGTTGTAATGGTTTTCAAAGGAGAACGAAAACTCAAGCACTTTCGAATAGTTCACTATTCTTCATCAGGAGAATAAAGGGTTATGTTTTATGAGTGTTGTGAAATACATAGGCAAGGATGTGGATGTCACGTAAACAGGATGTTTAATATGAGTTAGCTTCGAGAACGAACCAATCATAACCTAAAGTTGTTGGTTTAGTTTGTGCCAAAGCGGTGTGTACAGTACATAAGAGACTTCAGTGTAATAATAATTATAAGAAATGTTAACCAATTTATAAAAAGATAAAAATAACGGCAAAAGGTGGTGAGGAATAGAGAAATTAAAGCATGAATAATACTAATAATGTAAAGTAAGTTTAATTATAAATTGAGTTTTGAAAATATTTTCAGAGTCATACGAAGGTCAACAATCACATGATTGAGATTGAAACCATTTGGCTTTACAGTATTTAAAAATGCTATCCAGTAAGCTTCTTTAATTTCCCTGTTTCTGTTAGATGTAAAACTCGTCTCAATACCCGTTATCAAATCTATAACATCATGGGAAAGTTTCAATGGATAAAAGTATATATACAAACTTCAGGCACACAAAACTGAGGATATCCAAAAACTGGATGGTGTTAACTCTTTCACTACTATAAATCCACATCTCACCCTTTAAAGCACTGACATGAAAATTTGGAATTTTATGCTACCATAAAGAAAGGGCATTCTCCTTTAAACTTCTAAAGTTTATCAATTCCAGATAAGTAAAGAAATATTAAAACATGCCTTTTTGTTTTTTATTATGTATCTAAAAACAAACCTGACAGTGGTAAATTTGTTTATCTAAAAACAAACCTGACAGTGGTAAAATTGTTTATCTATAAACATGACAGTGATAGAGTTAATTAAATATTCAGAGACATTTACACCAAAGTGTAAATTCAAAGCAGCATATTCTTGTCACATGCTGTAACATTTCAAAGTACTGGAACTATACTAATCTACAAAAACTGGTTCCAAAATGCAACTCACAAAGACTATACATAAAGAACCAGACATCAAAAAAAGCACACTCAGTTTGTTTCACTTCGTTTTATATAAATGAAGACTGTTCTTTCCATCTAGTTCCACACAAGCTTTATTTTTAACATGTTAGTGAATTCTATAATTTGATCAATGTTTTCTCTTTCCTAAACCTTTACTATTTTGTCAAATTTTAAAACAGCAACCTCTTGTATTATAAGCTGAATACAACAACTGCTTGACCTGTTTACAGCAAAAACTATTGCAATGTTGTAAAATAACTTTTTTGGGGTTATCATATGCCACTTTTTTATGCCTTTAACAAAAAACTGATTTTTCTTTCTAATTTAAAATTTTATTTTTTAATTTACAATAATTCCAAAGACTTCCCACAAAAACTAAAATGCAGATTTCATTCCTAATAAAAAATTTTATGGTACAAAAAAAAAACTTGGTATGAAGGTATTGAATGACATTTCAACTAGATTGCTAATAAACTTTACAAAAGTTAAGCCTTATGACTGAATCATATTTTTAGTAATATTTTTATTGCCTGAAGCCAAGTTTCTGAAAATAAGAGTTAAACTATGCATTACACAATTTATTCACAATTTGGCTGCCCACTTCTAATCAGTTTCTATATGAAACAAAGGTTTCCTATTAGCCTAATAATTTTCTCCAGAAGTTTCTTCTGATATCAAAACATCAGTTTTAGTTCAATTCATTTCTATATATATCCACACACCTTGTAAAGTTTCATCATTTTCTTCCCTGTTTTCTTTATTTTCATCTTCAGTAGGATTGATATCCAAAATCATGAAATCTTCAGGTCTGAAAGACAGAAAGAAATTTACATTAACTCTCTCAATATGGGCTTGGTCAATTTGACTGACCATGTGACGTCTTTGTACTTATTTAGTGTTTATAGATTTGACACTACTGACTTTTAATATAGTGTGTATATCTTCATGAAATTTAGCAGTCTTGCAGTTAACATTATAAGTCCTTCACATATTTTTTATTGAAGTATTTTTAAAAAACTAAAAAAAAAAGATTTGTCCTTGAATATATCGATATTTGTTTTGAATAGTCCGTGTGCAATGTGATTTTCATGTTAAGATTAAAAATACTTTTCTTCAACTCAAGTTTCATTTGTGTATTCTCTAAAACCTCCTAAATACATTTCAAATGTTTGTTTTCAGTAAAACTTTATATTGTATTTGTTATTTTCTCTACCCTAACTCTATACAAGTTTGGTCAAGTTGACCAGCCTCGTAACCACCAAAAAAAATCAAAATAATTCTAAATTACCCTCTTTTTTTCTAGAATGACTTTAAATTGTAACATGAAACTATATTTGTTTATCCTAAGTAGTTTTAAACTCATAACAGTATACATCTATTTATAATTAAATTTCATTGTTTTGTTGCCCTTTGAATCATGTCTAACTACTATTCATGTCATTATAAGTTGTAAATCACTTTGGGAACATACAGCTCATGTTACGCTATCGATTTACATTATGCATGAGCTACTCATGTGCATGCCTCGTGAATGTTTTTATTATATTATTATTATTATTTATTTTACTTTAACTAACCTAAAAAGATCCCTACTTGCACATTCTAGTTATTTTTATAATAATAAATAAAGAATAGACATGAAAAAAAAGCAATAAAGAACTTACCCGTGTCTTCCTTTGTTTTTTTGCTCTCGACTGTTGTTGACACTTAACCCAATTTGTTTTATTATATCAATGGTAGTAACACAGAAAATTTTTTTATTTAATCAAATAATGCACCAAAGAACATAGAATAATAACATTCAAAAAACAGACAATCTCCTCTAACTATCACAAATGTTCTGGCTTTCTAACTATGAGACAAGAACCATTACAAGTTCATCCAAGATATTTGTTATCTTTCCCGTGGGAACTAAACTTGTACTACAAATGAAATTTATAATTATCTGTTCAGAACAAAAAGTAATATAATGCATTATTTGATAGATGAAAAACATTGGCTTCTATTGGTTATAGATGATATACAATTAAACAAATCCTGAAAGAGAGGATGTGACAGGTGGGTGTAGCAAGAGGGGTCTGATTTTCCATTTGATAGCTCTGTAACCAAACAAAATTGAAAGCTATTAAAATTATGATTTGTCTGAGCAATGAAAATTTTATTGTGAGTAATTTAATTTTGTAGTTATTGGAAGGGTGGTGGATAAAATAGAGAAGATGATATACCTAGAGGAAACATGTCATGTGTGTCACACTAGGGGAATTCAGGATTTTATTATATATTGCCTTATAAAATTAAATACTATTTATATACTATTAAAATATGGATTATTAGCTAAGATTTTATGCTATACTAATTGATATAACATAAACGAAAAGTAGTTTAATAAAATTTGGAATGTAAGACACTAAAGCCTTGTGTCATGCCCAGTAAAGGGTACCTTTAGCAATAGGATTAACTTGTAGTCTACAATACAGAATGTAATAGGCTCCCAAAAGCTCATAACATAACTTTTCTGGAGGTAGGACCAAATATTATTCATAATACCAAAAATTAATAAATATATATATCAACTTATCAGATCATCCAGAGTGAAAAACTGGGAATTTTTTTCACACAAGGTGACACTGTAACAGCCATGAAATGGTTAAAATTACAATAATACATCTTTTACATATATAATCTGATATTTATTGCATCATATCTTAAAACCTGCAGCTGCTTATGAAAATGTAGTAGAGAAAAGTGAATACAAAAAGAAATGCTGTTTATAATTTTGTTCTTCTCAAATATGACACATGTACTGTACTTCAAATTCCAATTAAAAAAACTGTAATTATGACAAAATTAGAGCTAAAAGATTTACTACAAACAACATAAGTTTTACATGTAGCCTTTTGTGTATTAGATATATACATATAGCACTTTTGTTTTAATCCTCAGCCAAGTGATTCTCCAATTAAAAGAACTGTAAATAATGACAAATCATACATATCAGACTCACAATGATGTACAGAAAAACTGGGATAATAATACTCTTTCTGATTGGAACAAAAAATAAGGCTAAAAACTAGGACAATCCCAGTTTTACTGAGATGAACAGTAATCCTAAACATGCCAGGGACACGGCAGCCATGCATGAAATCATATTCACCATTTTAAGCATTTCAATCACTCGATCAATACAAAATCAAGTTTAATACACACCTAATTATTTCACCATAATCATCCCACTTAATTTTTTCCTCTCTCACTGGAAACATTGGATAGGACTTCTTGGCTTGTTTGAAAAAACCACCACCCCTTGACTTGCCCTGAAAAGTAGATACAACACATGCCATATACACAGTAACTCACAATTTCACAAGTTCAAAACTTTAGTTTAATCAATGACTTTACCTGCATTTAATAACTGTTGTATTCCATGAAACCACTAAAATAAGATAGCCTTCAAGTTTCTTCAAAAAAGTCAGCAATCTTTATCAATTCTTATCAATGGTGAACTTCATAAGCTTGTCACTAAAAACCTTACACCCTAGTAATATTCTAACATAACATTAATACAACGTCAATGTTTTTATGCCTTTCTAACCTAGCATCTTATGCTTCTACAAGAGCAAACGACATTTTTAATAATTAAGTTTTAAAACCTTCAGTCTGATCTTACTCTTCAAACCACTTACAAAATAAAATTAACTGAAATGTTAATTTTTTCATGTGTATTTTATGAAAAAACTCAGACTACTAACTTTAATTTAATTTCTACCCTTTCACCCCCAATTTTAATTTTATTTGGGGGGGTGAGTAGTTGAAATATTTAAACTTACTGCCAATCTTCATAAAACTTGCAACATATGAAACAATGCTGCAAATCTGTGGTTTTTGTACACATGAATTTCTGGTTTAAATATTTTGAAATCAGTGAATTTCTAAAATTGATGGTATCAAAAATTTTCAAATTCAATCCAATACATTTTTTTGTTTCACAACTACCAAGTTTCTAGAGCTAATACAATACTGTCTGACAGCTGAAATTATTTTCTTCCTTGAAATTTATTTGCCCTTTTTTTTCTTATAGGGACTGTAAATTTCAAAACTTTTAGTTATTACTTAAGAAGCCTTTTATGACTGCACACCTTCTAATAAACTAACTATATCAAGGCTTACGGTTTTTACACACTACATACTGTTACTAATTTTATTTGTTCCCCTGCTTATTTCTTTATATTGTTAAAGTAATTACTTTGGTAGTCCTCTTTGGTTTTTAAATACAAAACTTACTAAACTTGAAATTAATGGAATCTTATGGACTTCACCCTGGCAAGAGCTTGCATGTTTAATAGTAGGTATCTTTTTTACTCTTTCTTCACATAATTACTAAAAGGATTACAGAGGTGATTTTTATAAATCAGATAAAATGAGATAATTATCATCCATATTTACTGATTTTGATAATGTATGACACTTTATTGTGACATTTTTCCAAGTGTATTAGTGCAAGATAAAATTGGGCCTGTGATTGTATTATTGCTAATAAGCATTTATAAAACCTCTTTTACGACAGTGGTTACGAGCATGTTGCATAATGTACAATTATGTCATTTAATGGCTTTATTGTAAATTTACTAAAACATTTAACCGAGGCTTCAAGTTCCAAAAAATAAATAATAAATTTTGAAGGGAAAAGACAAAAAATATTTGCTGTGAATTGGAGAAATGAAATAATTGAAGATACTAATCAAATGTGGAAAATTTAAACACAGGCAAGTTCCTTATGGGAAAAAAAAGGCTGACTGCAAGTGAAAAAAATCAGATTGGCTCACAAAGGGTATAAAGGATAAAATTAAAGAAAAGCATTATAAATATAAGATGTTTAATTTGACTGAAATGGTGAGAGATTTGAAGGATTATGTAATATAAGAGAATTGTCCAAACAGGAAATTAGAAAAAAAAAACTATATGAAAAAAGATTGGTTGAAGATATAAAAATGAATAATAAGGATTTTTCAAATGCATTAAAATAATAAAATGTTTGAATGGGAGGAGAGTCTTTCAGGAACTATACAGGAAGGCTAATATCTGATGATACTGGGATGGCTGGGTTATTAGATTCTAACTTTTCTTCAATTTTTACTAACGAAGGTTTAAGCAATACTCCTCATCCTGAACAGTTGCTAGATGCTAAGAAGACTGAAGAAGGTGATCACATTAATTCTGAGCATCTCAAGAAATAAATTTGGAATTTAAAGAATGATACACCTCCTGGTCTAGATAATGTTTACCCAAGACTGTTGAAGGGGATTAAAAATTGGATATGTGAACCATTTGTTACTATTTTTTCTCATTCTTTAAAGAGTGAGCAGGTATCAGAAGATTGAAAGTTGACTAATGTTACTCCTCTTTTCAAGGGAGGTGATTAAATTGTCCCGGTAATTGTAAGCCTATTTGACTTACATCATTGGAGGAAAAAATTTTTGAAAATCTGATAAAAGATTTTTTGCAAAGTCACTTAAAAGATTTTAAAATTATTTTAGATAGTCAGCATGGTTTCACTAGGGGAAAATCTTGCCTTACTAATCTTTTAACATTCTTTGAAAAGGTTTGGTTATGTAGATGAGCAATGGATGTGGATTTGTTATATCTGGATTTTCAGAAAGTATCTGACCAGGTGCCGCATAAAAAGGGCTCATTAGTTGTGGGTGATGAGTTGGCTCATTGGATAGAAGACTAGTTGAATGGAAGACAGGAGAGAGTTGTTATAAATGGAGTTCAGTCAAGCTGGATTCATGTAACAAGTGGGGTCACTCAGGGTTAAGAATTACAACGTTTGTTCTTTTTAATTTACATAAATGACATACATAAAGGAATGGTTAATAAATTATTTAAACTTGCTGATGATATTAAAGTTTTGGGTGCTGCTTGCTGTGATGCTGCTGCTACTGTTTTACAAAAATATTTGTAATGAGGTGAATAAATGGCAAATGGCTTTTAATTATAATGAATGATTCAAAAGTAATGATGCAAGGTAATGTATATGGGAGAATCTTAAGAGTGCTATGGAAGAAAAATATCTTAGTGTTCTGGTTGACCAGTTTCTTAGGCCAACCAATCTGTTACTAATGGTAAGGTAGATAGGGTTTTTGGTTGTATATACAGAAATAGATGAATACAATCTAAAGAAGATATAATGGCATTCTATAAGTCACTGGTTATGCTACACTTTTGTGTTTAGTCTTGGGCTCCTTACCCTAAAAAGGAAATTGTATTGTTAGAAAGGGTTCAGAGGAGGGCTACTAGGGTAAAAAGGTTGTCATACAAGGATAGATGAAGATCTCTGAATTTGTTTACTCTTGAAAAAAGATGAGTTAGAGGGATTTGAATTAGGTATTTAAGATTGTCAAGGGAATTGACAGTGTTGATGCCTCACCTTTTTTCATACTTAATAGTGAAAATGGTATGACTAGGGTACACAAATATAAATTTTAGCAGGGAAGGAGTCATTTTCAGCTAAGACAGCTTTATTTTTCTAACAGGAGAGTTAGCCTTTGGAATGGGTTGCCTTCAGAAGTTGCAGATGCAGTTAATTTAAAGGAGTTTAAGGGAAGGCTTAATAAATATCTGAATGATAAAGGCTGGCTTTGAGTGTTTTATTTTCACATTTAGTGGATGAGATGGCCAAGATGGACCTTAAATTACATGTACATATAAATGGTTATCATGTTTTATATACTTATGGTAATCGCTGTCACTGTAATAGTAGCTTATAAGATTACCTAACTTTAATAATTCATTCTTTTTATATAACTAGATAAAAATTACTGATTAATGTTTTTCCATTGTCTTTGTTGCTAATCTGTTGCCATCTTTTATCAAAACCTGAGAAAAGTTATTTTTTTCTGTATTAGTAGTGGCTAGGATTCAATCTTGGGTCTTCTTGGTAGAAAGCCTGGTGTTTTATTCACTCAACTGCAAATGCATCAATATTATCAATACACACAGTGTGATTAAATATAATTTTCAATAATGTTATACAATTAGCAGAACAAAGCAGTAGGATATTTAGACTGAAAGTAATATCTAGTGTTGTGTAAAAAACAACCAACACCCTCTAGTTATTTTTAAAGTAAAATGTGTTACTTCTACATAAGCAATAGAGCAATCTAGTTGGAGTAATTGCGTGAGCAAACGAGCAAGTAACCACCACATTTTACTTGGCTTTATGTTTCATGTATGACAAAATAATACTAAAACTTTTTTTTATAACATATGCATGGGCATCAGCAGGAATTTCTTAGAGGGTTAATTTTTGTTCATTTTTTTTAGATGTGTACATGTATAGATATGTATACACATGCACAAAACTGCACAATTAATGATGAAATCTTGATGATGAACAACTTATATTGAAATAAATATTCACATAGTTTCAAAAATAAATTTGATACCATGCACTTATTACTTAATTGAAGTTTGTGTGTCACAATTATACATACATAAATCCCTTTTACATAACTATTTTGCAATTTATTATATAGCATAAGGTAGACATACTGTCATTGGAATCATTCAATTTAAACATTCTATGGTACTGCATTGAACTAGCTAGGAGAATAGTGTAAACAAACAGCAATAGCCTTATGAAATGTATTTAGCTACCCCAATGTAAATGAAAACATGAATGATTTATGCTGCTCAGAATGTGATTTCATGGTACAGTATTTGCCTGATCAGTACAGTGTATAACTCTATGATACTTGTCGATTCACATCATGTTGAGAAAAGGGATTAGTGACACCTCTGCTATAATAAGTCTCAAATCTCTAGGAGTTTGATCAGGTATTTGAAGAGATCCAGGCAGACATGTAAAATTAGTATGTCTTCTTCATCATTTAACCCTCTAAAATTGAGTAAGGTCAAAGTGTGCATATAACAGCTTTTACAGTTCTATAAAAAACTTAATTAAACAATTTTATTATCGATGTATGTGAATATACTTCGCATCAAACCATGGTTTATAATGCAAATTTCAATAACAAATATTCAAATAAATTCTCACTCTTCCCTTCTCTGTATTTCAAGACACTTCATTGCTCCAAATTGCCTCCAAGCTAAAATGTCAATATATATCCTCTAAGCTTCTTGCTGTACTAAGATACATGTAGTAAGTGAAACCCACATGCCATACTCCACCTAACATATCCTGTATTTTAAAAAAATATCAGCAATTCTTACATGTGCTATTGGACTATTTCTAACCAACAGATAAAGAAGATTTTAAATTACTGAGTATAATGAGGCTTGAAGTTGTTGTATTGACATTTAAAGAAATTCACCATCAGTTTCATTGTTTGCTAGTATTGGAGCTTTGCCTGTCCAGCTACTGGAATTATTTACCCATTTATAGCATAGGAAGCAAGTTAAATTATAGTAGTTTTAGAACATTCTACTATTTGTGTGTGGAAATACTTTGTATTCTATGCTATATATTTTAATTCTAAGAAAAATCATTTGTGAGACAACTAAAACATAGGCCTAGTGTGCAAAGAGGATTTCTTTGTTACAAATGCAAGGGCTTGGAAAAAGACAAGATTCCTGACTTAAGTACTAAATTTGTTGTTTTTTATATATATTTTATATTTGTTTTTATAAAAGTAACTAAAATGTAAAAATCAGAGGGCTATTAGGTTACATAACAAAACTTACAAAAAAAAATTAATAGAATTTTTCACAATACTTTACCATGTCACATACACAAATCGCAAGCGGTGATTTTAATTCATTCGTTTTTATTGTTTTATTACACAAAACTGTTCTGATTAATAAAAAGATTTTGTCATACTCTAAGAGGGTGGTTTAAAGGCAACTGGAAATAAAACTAAATGAAATGGCTGTAAAAATAAAAAGTGTGTAATTGTATGTTACAACATAAAGTCATTCTAGAAAAAACAAGTAATTTAGGTTTTGTAATTTTTTGTTATATGGTGGCGACATGGTTGGTCAAAATAATCAAGATAGTATACAGTTAATGATAGGGTAGAGAAAATAACAGATAATATAAAAAGTTGTACTAAAAAAACTTTTGATATTAATTAAGGAGGTTCTAGAAGTTATGCAAGTGAAATATAAAAACTATAAAATGAAAAAACATATTATTCTCAACATGAAAATCATCCAATTGGACTTGCTCAGTAAGGGCTTCTTAAAATTGCAGACAAATCTTTAATAAAATGCATAACTAAAAAATATTTATTGTGTACAGCTGGGTTGTAATACTTATAAAAAAAACTTACCAAATTTTGTGAAAATACACTTAGTAAGTTCAAAGTTATGGTTACATGATAATGACAAGGCCAGTCAAAATGATGAGGCCTGTGTACAGAGGTTAAAAACAAAGTTGTTAGGAAGTAGGCCTGAGTGCAGAACCAGTAGATTTCCACACCACTGAAACTTAATATATGGTATCATAACCTATAATTTATGATTAAACTGGACACATTATTGTCACTCTGGTGAAACATGGTTAGATTCAGTATGAAATCACAGTCAAAACTGGGGTTTTCCAAATGATCAGTAATACAATATAAAATTGGCTATACTAATGACAAATCAAGGAATAAAAGTCTTAAAACTAATTTGTGATATGCAGTCCCAAAAGACAACATCATTAATGAAAGATATTCAACATCTTAACCAATGAGCTGCAAGATGCTATTGGGAAAAAATTATCATATACTGTTCATTGTAATCTATTTAACCCTATTGCCCTGGGTACCTTTTACTGCGCATAACACAAGGTTTCAGTGTCTTACAATCAAAAGTTTATTAAAGTACTTTTTGTTTATGTTATATCAATTAGAATAGCATAAAATCTTAGCTAATAATCCATATTTTAATAATATACAAGTTTAAAGTTCTTAATTATACAAGGAAATATATACAAAAATCCCAAATTTCCACTAGTGCAACACACGTGACACATTTTGTCTTAGCCTGTCATCATCCCTATTTTATCCATCACCCCTCCAAAATGTACAAAATTAAATGTAAAATACTCTCTATAAAATCGTTATTGCTCAAACAGACCATAATTTTTATAGTCCTTCAATTTTTTTTGGTTACAGAGCTATCAAATAGAAAAACAGACCTCTCCTGTCACACTTCGTTGATAGTTCTCTCTTACGTTTCATTATATATTACCTGTAACCAGTAGAAAGTCAAGGATTTCATCTATCAAATGGCATATTGTATAACATTGTGTTCTGAACAGACAACCATCAATTTCACTCAGAGTAGCAACTTTATTTGGCTAGCTTCGATGAATTTGTAACAGCTTTTGTCGCATAGTTAGAAAGCCATGAAAATTTTTTAAAAGTAAGTGAATTTCTCTAATTTTTGCACGTTATTAGTCTATATTCTTTGGTGCATTATTTGATTAAATAAAAATTGTTAAGTGCTTCACTATACTCACTAAAAAAAAATCAGGCTTAACTCTCCTCGACAACTGAGGGCAAGAAAAAAAGAAGATTGGGTAAGTACTTTATTTCTTGTTTTTCATATTTATACTTCATTTATTATTATAAAAGTAATTAAAATTAAAAGTATGGATCTTTTTAAGTTATTTAGGACTAGATTAGGTAAAATAAGTAATAATAATATAATTAAAATGGTTCACGAGGCATGCATGCAAGCAGCTTGTGGGTAATGTAATTCGATAGCGTAACGTGAGTTGCATGTTCCCCGAATGATTTACAACTTATAATGCCACAGATAGTAGTCTGACATGGTTCAAACAGCAATAAAACAATAACATTTAATTATATAATGTTATGAACTTAGGACTTCTTAGGATAAACAAATGTAGTTTCATGTTACAACTTGAAGTCATTCTAGAAAGAAAACAAGGTTAATTTACGTTTATTTAGATTTTTTTTGGTGGTTACGAGGTTGGTCGAATTGACTGATTCTGTTTTGAGATAGGGTAGAGAAAATAACATATAAACTATAAAGATTTAGTGAAAAAAAAAACGTTTTAAATGCATTTAGGAGGTTTTAGGGATTACACAAATGAAATTTGAGATGAAGTATTTTTAATCTTAACATGAAAATCACATTGCACATGGACTATTCAAAACAAATACTCGATATATTAAAGAACAAATCTTTTTTTAGTTTTTTAAAATACTTCAATAAAAAATATGTGAAGGACTTATAATGTTAACTGAAAGACTGCTAAATTTCATGAAGATATACACACTATATTAAAAGTCAGTAGTATGAAATCTATAAACACTTTAAATTACTACAAAAGGTCACGTGACCAGGTCAAATTGACCAACCCCTTGTTGAGTTAACCTATGACCTTAATGTTCTGTCACAAGAAAGCTCCAACAAGCAAAGACTTGAAAGTAAAATAAACATTTTCTAGCTTTATCTCAAAAGCCACATAACATAGAGTTCTAGATTTCTCCACTTGTATATTTTTCCTGCTTATATAGCTGAATTTTTTGCTCTAGGATGGACAAACCTTTCCATTTTCAATTATAAAACTTTTCCATGGACCACAGGTTGGGAATCTCTAATCTAAAGAATGTCAAATTTAACACTAGTTCATGCATGCTCTTACAATTTCTCCTTCTTTTTCTTCTAATTACTTTCTTGTTGCTAAAAAATAACAGTAGTAAAACACTAGCTCATGCTATTACAATTTTGCTTATTTTACTACTAATTAATTTGGTGCTGCTAAAAAATAACAGCAATAATTTTATAGTTTTAAAATACAATTTATTCAAATTAAACAAAAATATTGAGCAATCTTTATTAAACTTTCCACATAACTGCATAATTTAACTTTTAACTCTCTCAATACTGGTGCAGTCAATTTGACTGACCACAAGGCCTCTTTGCACTCGTTTAAAGTCTTATAGATTTAATACGACTCACTTTTAATATAGTGTGTATACCTTCATGAAATTTGGCAAACTTTCAATAAACATTATAAGTCTTTCACATCAAAAAAATCATATTTTATAGTGAATTATTTTTAATTTACTATTTTCTAACAATGTGACAAGAGCCATTACAAGTTCATCCAAGATGATAGTTATATTTACTGTGGAACAAAGCTTGTACTAAAAGAGAAATTGACAATTCTCTCTTCAGAATCCGACATAATACAATATGTAATTTGACAGATGAAAACCTTGGTTTTCTATTGGTTATAGATAATATAGAATTAAATGTAAGAGAGGATGTGACAGATGGGTGTGGCAAAAGGGGTCTGGTTTTCTATTTGATGGCTCTGTAACCAAATAAAATTGAAGGCTATAAAAATTATGGTTTGTTTGAGCAATAAAGATTTTATATAGAGTATTTTACGTTTAATTTCGATGGGTGATGGATAAAATAGGAATGATGACATGCTAAGTGGATCACACTAGTGGAAATTCAGGATTTTTAAAAATATTTCCTTGTAGAATTAAGAACTTAAAACTTATATACTATTAAAATATGGATTATTAGCTATGATTTTATGCTATGCTAACTGGTATAAAATGAACAAAAAGTAATTTAATAAAATTTTGAATATAAACCACTAAAACCTCATGACATGCATACTAAATGATGCCCAGGAAGATATAGTTAACAAGTCTAACCAAAACAATAGTTAGATCTGACACAATCAACATTAACTGCTGCAGCTGAGGATAAGCTGTGTTTCTCTTTTGTTTGTGACCAAAAGTCTTTTATTCCCTAAACATTTTACGAATTTTTTGCATTAGGTCATGATTATTAGTGTTAATATTGAATGGTAAAGACATTAAAAGCTATTGGGTTACATTTCCACATCTTGAAATAAACATGTGCAAGTTCCAATCCAGTATGTCAAAAGAAAAGTTCAATAATCATATGTTCATTCATGATAACAAGACTTTTTGTTAATGCTTTACACAGTAATTAACACCACAGATCACTGAGCATTCAAACTACAGTGTAACTTCTAAAAAGCATTGGTATGTCTACACAAGTATTAAATACACCAAACATTTATCATATTGAATATAAACATACTTCTGTTTTCATCATCAGATCATGCTTAGCTTTCCCTACAATATCTACTTCCATTTCAATATCACTATCTTCACTAGAATCAGAGTCTTCCATGTCACTAGAAAAAATAAGAACAAACATTTTTTAAACCTCACATTCCACTTCATGTAATAATCATTTATAAACAATTTTAAATCACTTCATACCATGAATTATTTACTTCGATGAAATTTAGTGAAAAAGATATAACAGAGTAAAAAACTGAGTAAACCAAAGAATTTGTGAATAAGTTTGCTTATGGTTTATCCATGGTAATCTTGAAAAGCTTTCAATAATCAAAAATAACTTTAATTTGAAAAAATTTAAGCTTGCTGTTTTGAACTTATCAACTCTTAGTAATTTACCTACCATTTAATAGTTTAGAAGCAGACATATTTTTGGAGATAATATGAAAACAAACATTAATAATCATATTTATTGATTAAAATAGCAATACATACAAAATTATATAATTAAACATTAAATTCATAAAAAAAAAGGACCAATAAATACCTCATTACCAGCCTTAATAATTACAAAGCTAATGTCTTAGAAATGCCCATCAGTTAAGACAGAGTGGTTTGGGCCATTTTGGTACAATATATATACTATATATGCAGAGTCCACAGTGTGAACAAGTAAAAAAAAAAGTGTTCTTTACAACATACTTTGGCTACTACAGTCACCAGATGCATTACCTGTTAAACTTAAAAATAATAAAATTTACAGACACTGAAACCCATCCCCAAAAATGCTTGCCCTTTCAGGGTTAGAGGAGTTATAATATGACAATAAATCCCACTATTCATTTGTAAAGAGTAACCCAAGAATTGTCTGTGGGTGGTATTGACCAGATGCTCTCCCTCTAATGTATCACTTTAAAATTGGGAATGGCTAGTGCACATAGTCCTTCAGTAGTTTTGCATGAAAATTACACAGTAATTCTCTCAATACAGGTTCGGTCAATCTGACCAACCACATGACCTCTTTGTACTCATTCAACTTGATACTAATGACTTTTAATAGTATATTTCAGTAAACATTATAAGTCTTTCAGATACAAAAACTCGTATATTTTTTAGTGAAGTATTTTTAATAAACTAAAAAAAGATTTGTCCTTGAATATATCGATATTTGTTTTGAATTGTCCATGTGCAAAGTGATTTTCATGTTAAGATTACAAATACTTCATCTCAAAAATCTCAAATTTCATTTGTGTAATCTCTAAAACCTCCTAAGTACATTTCAAACGTTTGTTTTCAGTAAAACTTTACATTTTATCTGTTATTTTCTCTACCCTAACCCTATACATGGTTGTTCAATTTGACCAGTCTTGTGACCATCAAAAATAAAAAAAAAATCTAAATAAATCTCAATTACCCTTTTTTCTTTCTAGAATGACTTCAAATGTAACATGAAACTACATTCTTTAATTCTAAGTAGCCTTAAACTCGTAACAGTATACACTGTTTTATTGCCTTTTCAACCATGTCTAACTACTATTTGTGCTATTATAAATTATAAATCACTTGGAGAACATGCAACTCATATTATGCTATTGAATTACCTTACCCATGAGCTAGATAGATGAAAATCTTGGCTTTCTATTTGTTATAGGTAATATATAATTAACATGAGAGAAAACTATCAACAATTCCTGAAAGAGAAGATTTGACAGGAGGGGTCTGATTTTCTATATGATAGCTCCGTAACCAAACAAAATTATAGGCTATAAAATTATGGTTTGTTTGAGCAATGACGATTATTTAGTGAGTAATTTACGTCGTATTTCATACTTTTTGGAGGGGTGATGGATAAAATAGAGAACATACCTAGAGAAAATGTGTCATGTATGTCACACTAAGGAAAATTCAGGATTTTTTTAAATACTGCCTTATAAATTTAAGAACTTAAAACATATATTATTAAAATATGTATTATTAGATAAGATTTTATGATATACTAATTGGTATAACATAAACTAAAAGTAATTTAATAAAATTTTCAATGTGAGACACTAAAACCTTGTGTCATGCGCAGCAAAGGATACCTGTGGTGATAAGGTTAATGTAAACAAAAAAAAAAGGAAAAACTGGCCTTGGCAATCAACAAATCCCAGCAATGAGACTTTTTAATATTAAAGGTCTTTATAATTTTCTTAATGATCCATAGCAGAGACCACACCAACTTTTATTACCTATAAACACATAAAACGAAAGAGATTTTAGTAATATATTTAAGATTTTTTTTATATTAAAAAGGATAACGTTACATTCAAAACTTAAACTTCAAAAATTTATGTATATGAATAAACTTGGCATTAAAAACAGATAATAAATTAAATTTCAATATTATATAAATTTTAAGTTCTTAATTTCATAAGGAAATATTTTAAAAAATCCTTAATCCCCCCTAGTATGAGAATGGAGACATTTGCTTTGTAGGTCTTCCCTCTTCTTTAACTTATTTACCACACCTCTGACAAGCACACAATTTAACATATTACTCAGGCAAAGCACAATTTTATAACCTTCAATCTTATACTTTTATGGAGCCATAAAACAGAAAATCAGATCCGCTTGCCACACCCACCTGTCACAGTCTCTCTTTCACAAATTTCCAATTGTTCTCTCTGATGTTTTATACTGTATTATTTATAACCAATAGAAAGTCAAAGTTTTAACCTATCAAATAACGTATTATACTACAACGTTTTCTGTAAAGAGAATTGTCTACTTTGCCTCCAGTTCTAAAATTTTTTCTCACAAGAATCACATCAGCGAGCTTAGCTGAATTTTAAAAGACTCTTATTGCATAGTTAGAAAGCAAGAAAAATTCAAATAGTCATAAGATATTGTTTGCTTTTTGAATGTTATTTTTCTGTGTTCTTAGCTGCATTATTTATTAAATAAAAACATTCTTTATTGTAGTAGTAGTAGTACCACTAGTATAAAAAAGTAGACTTAAGTTTTTTGAAGTTGACAGCAAAAAAAACAAAAACAAAACCGGTAAGTACTATAATTCTTGTTTTGTGTGTTCTTTATTTATTATGAAAAAGTAGTAACTAAAATGTAAAAATTGAAAAATTTATTAGTTTAAATTAGGTTAGATAAAAAATAAAAATTCCTCACAAGCAACTCTTGCATTACGTAATTTGATACGATAATGTGAGCTGCATGTTCACCATGTGATTTACAACTTATTTGGAATGAATTAGTTAGACACAGTTCAAAGGGCAATAAAACAATTAATTAAGTCATTCTAGAAAGAAAAATGGTAATTTAGATTTATATCATTTTTTTTCGTTGTTACAAGGTTGTGTAAAATACACCAGCCCATTGCAAAAGGGTTAAAGTAAATATAATATATATACATATAATCATATTTATTTACATTTTTTTGCTACAAGTACAGGGCTTAAATTTCTGCTTCAAATAAGTGGTATATATATATAGTAAAGCAACAAAATTTATTACAATTACCCTCCTTTTTCTGCTTTCAGCTTTGCTGCTTCTAGTTCTTTTTCTTTCTCTTTCCTCATGTAATCTTCAAGCTCAGCTCCCTCCAATCTGACTCTGCGTTTCACCTTATAAAAATTAATTACAAATGTTAGAAATAGAAAGTTATGGATTTTTCAAACTCAAAATAATTTCTCTTTAAGGTTTAATAAAAATATATTTGTGAATTAAAACATACCTAGATACAAAAATTTCTAAGAACTAGCATTTTATTAGTTTTTCATTTCTACTAAACAGTATCTATGAAATTTACTTCTTATCCTTTCTAAAAATCTTAAAAATGTTTTGTCAAAATGTGTGCAATAGCCTAAAAATAATTTCTAGTAGTAAACGTTTTGTAGCGAGAGAGTTTTTATAGATTTTGTTTACACACACAAACACCTTTAAATTCTTTCATATTAAAAGAGGTTTTGAGACTACTTTTTTAGTTGAACTTGGAACTTAAATTTTTGTCCAGTGGTATAATTTGAAATATGAAACAAATTAAGAGTTTGGAACAGTTTGGTGTAGATTTTATTTATACATACCGACCAAAAGGCATATATATATAAAACTCACTTGGATAATTTCCCTGTCATCAATTTAGCTGGGCTAATAAGATTGATACAAATTGAAACTGCAGTACTCAGCAACTCACGGTATAAATCTTGTTATCCAACATGAGCAAATAAATTACATATTTCAAACTATACTGCTAAAACGTCACTAAACACAAGTGCTAAATCTAGATGCAAAGCTTGTTATAAAAGAGCACAGGGGTACAAATAAGTAAACCTATGTGCATGGAGCCTGTCCATTGAACCAAGACCATGATGAAAAAAGTAATGTTTACTAGAATTCCTAATTTACCAATGTATTGTCACAAAATTTGGTAAGCTTTTGGTAAACATTACAAGTACATTGTACACAAGACATTAGAATGTTTAATAAAGCATTTTTACTAAAGATTTGTCTGTGAATTTACTGAGTCGGTCTGACTCAGATTGATCAGTCTCACTTAGAGTAAAAGGTGATTTTCATGTTAAAAATACTACTACTTTATTTTCTACTAGACTGACTGCAGATTGTAACATATAATTAAAATGATTTACTGTAAGACCTTTAAGCCTCTTAACTGTTTCACAATTGCTTTAATTTCATTTTGAACCATGTCTAACTACCATGAAAAGCAATAAATTACTGGGAGTGCAGAAAGTTAAGGGTTAACAAAGTTTCATGACATCTTAGTACATGGGTTCCTCAAGTATCAGGAAACAATTTTTAATTTTTCTCTTTCAGTTTTCTTGTTTAATCAAATAAGTTAATTTAATACATTTCAATTACTTTTAATATATATATATCAATAATTTATTATATATATATATAAAAACAAGAAATTTATCACTTACTGTTGCTTAAAAGTCTATACACAGTCTCAATGTACTTCACTACGATTAATTTTTTCCCACTAAGAATATAAGTTTTAAGTTCTTAATTCTACAAGGCAATATAAAAAAAATCCTGAATTTCTACTAGTGTGACTCACATGACACATTTTCTCTTATTATATCATCATCCTTATTTTATCCACCACCTCTCGAAAAAGTACAAAATTAAACATAAGTTACTCTATATAAAATGGTTGTTACTCAGACAAATCATAATTGGGAAAGTTAACAACTAGATTGGATGAATTTATAATGGCTCTTGTCACATAGTTAGAAAGCCAGAAACATTTTGAGTGGTAAGGGAATTTGTCTACTTTTTGCATGTAATTAGTCTATATTCTTTGGTGCATTATTAAGTGCATTACTATCATTACTATAAAAAATTAGGCTTAACTGACTTTGACAATGGAGAGCAAAAAAAAGGAAGATTGGATAAGTACTATTTCTTGTTTTTTATATATATTCTTTATTTATTATTATAAAAGTAACTAAAATATAAAAATATGGATTTTTTTAAGTTATTTAAGTCTAGATTAGGTAAAATAAGTAACAATAATATGATTAAAATAGTTTACAAGGCACACATGCAAGCAGCTGGTAGGTAATGTAATTCATAGTGCAATATGACCTGCACATTCTCCAAGTGATTTACAACTTATAATGGCATGGATAGTAGTTGGAAACAGTTCAAAGGGCAATAAAACAATAAAATTTAATTATAAGTGGATGTATACTGTTATGAACTTAGAGCTACTTAGGATAAATAATTGTAGTTTCATGTTACAATTTGAAGTCATTCTAGAAAGAAAACAAGGGTAATTTAGGTTTATTTTGTTGTTTTTTTTTTTTTTTGGTTATGGGGTTGGTTGAATTGACAAATCCCGTTTTGATATAAGGAAGAGATAATAACAGATAAAAGATAAAGGTTTATTTGAAATGTATTTAGGAGGTTTTAGGGATTACACAAAGGAAATTTGAAATTTTTGAGATCAGGAAAAGTATTCTTAATTTTAACATGAAAATTACTTTGCACATGGAGCAATCAAAACAAATACTCAATATATTCATGGATAATCTTTATTATATTTTATTAAAAATACTTAATTAAAAAATATAATTTTTTTGTATGTGAAAGACTTATAATGTTAACTGAACGACTGCCAAATTTTGTAAAGATATACACACTATATTGAGAGTTATAAGTATTAAATCTACAAACATTTTAAACGAGTACAAAAAAGTCACGTGATTGGTCATATTGACTGAGCCCATACTGTGAGTGTTAAAATACTTCAGATGATTTAATTTAATTTATTTAGTTTTTTATAAAATTTGAAAAATTGTAAATTGTAATTATGGGTTTATTTCAGCTCGCTCTGAATGAAACATATTAGTGTTTGTGACTTTCCTGAATTTTTTTTCTAAGCATAAAACATCACTCAGCTCCCTAGGAGGAAAATCTTAATAGTTTTGAATAAAATTGTAGCAATTTTATAATTTAACTTCAGTAAAAGTGTAATTTTATTGATTCTAGCTAATTATGGTGTACAGAATTGCTTATATCTTATCTTTGAAAAATCATAGACTAGTGATATAAAAACTGAAAGCTCTTTTTCTATTCTGTTCAAATGTATAATCCAATATAGCTCTCAGTTCATTGGAGACTCATGTAAAGACTGGAACAAAATAATATCAATTTGCTGGCTAAGTAATATAAAATAAGTATACATAAATGAATATATATCAGGTTTAAACCTATTACACATATTAAATGAAACCTTCTGATTAACAATTTAAATAAAAAAGCTTCCTATAATTAAAATTCTTTTTTGTACTTTTTAACAGTTTATTTTGTATAATTGATTTTTCTTTATGTGAAATATAAAGTAGTTTTAGGGCAAAGCAAGTATTCACTAAAGAAACTGCTTTCAGTTATGATAAAATGTTTTACTACCAATATTGTGACAGTGCACTGGTTTGGATTTTGGATCAGTTGACGCCCCAGTGTACCTGGTGAAGTTCGGTTGGTTAGGATGATACTGTTGCGAGGGTTGGTACACCACTGAATAAAAAGTTCTCTGGAAAACCCACACTCCAAATCTGGACTACTGGCTAATACTACCTGTTTTATTTACAAAACAATGGAAAATATGTTTTAATCTGACATGTACAAAATTATTTACAGCTGAATAGAATGAGAATTTACTGAAAAACTTAGGTTCTAAACCCAGGTGATAAAATAAAGAAATTAGCTTTTAGAGAAAAATCACCTATAAAAACTATGGTAGTAATTTAATTACTTAGCAATGTTTCAAGCAAATGCTCTTTTTCAAGACAGAAACAAAACTGCTGGGTAATGACAATTAAAGGAATGTTTTGAAATGAAACAATACACAAAAACAGAATGTAATGCAAAATAGAACTACAAGAATTAAACAATACAGTAAACACAATATAATAAAGCTGGTGATTAAAAAACAATATTAAAAATTATTAAAAACAGAACAACTTTACATAGCAGAGAAAGAAATAACTTAAACATTTTAAGACAATAAAAGAAGGGTATTTTAAAAAATTATAAAAAGCTGAACTATTTGTCAATACCCATAAGACATAAACAACAACCCAATTTTAAAATTATTTCTCTTTCAATTGTGGTTCTTTCATTGGTGTTGGAGAGGACATGACATAAGGCAAGCACTTTAAAAGTGCTCAAGAGAAGCTAAACTCGAACATTTATTGTTAGTCTGTAGTGTGAGAAAGAAGAGAAGTAGGGTAGCCACGTTTTTCGAAAAAGTGGAGCATGTTGATAAATTTGCTATTATAATCTTGGTTGTACTGTAGAGCCTACACAATCTGGTGTTTCGTGATTTGGGAATGTTTCTTTTGACACACTGTCAATGACTGGAGTGAAAATATTAGTAGTTGTATGTGTCTGTCATTTGTAATATACAGACATCACGAGGTTGCCATCATCAGTCACAGAAACATTTATGTCAAGAACTGAAATGGTTTGGTAAGAAACAGAAGATGTGTATTGGAGTGATGGGTAAAAGGATTGAATGAACAGAACAAGAAGATCGGGTTCATCATTGGTGCATGTAGCTACACCAAAACATCATCAACATATCTACAATATAAGGCAGGGAGAGTACACCTGTGTAGTTCCGAAATATGCAATCTTCATGTAACAAACAAAGGGGTTAGCATAGGAGGGACCCATTTTGGTACCCATTACTACACTCTTCACTTATTTATAGAATTTGGTGTCAAAAGAAAAAGCATTTAACGATAAAACTAATTCAGCTAATCTAATCACGGTTTCAGTAGGTGGGTCTAGGGTATCCCTTCTGTGAAGGTAGTGTTTTAGGGCCTTGAGTTCATCTTCATGTGGAATGGAAGTATACAACAATGTTATGTCAAGTGTGAATAAAATAATAGAATCTGAATTTGACATAAAATTTGCAGTTTTTTGTAAGGTATCATTGGTGTCTTAAATGTAAGTAGGGAGTTGATGAACTAAGGGAGTTAGGATGGAATCCAGGTAACTAAAGTAGGACAGCTGCATGTTGAAATTATGGGTCTGCCAGGATAGTCTGGCTTATGTATCTTAGGTAGAAGCTAAAATACAGAAAGCCTAGGATATTCAATGATTAAATTCTTAGCTTGTAATGGAAGTTTGTTATTGCTTATCAGTAGTTATATAATGGAACAGACAGTCTGGTAAAGCTTACATGAGCTTATGCCTTTTGAAATAACAACAGTAACAAGCCAGCAATCAACTATTATAATCAGAACAAGAAATTTTTTACTACAGTTTTGTGGTTTTCTTTACACTGAATTTGTAGGGGTCAAATTTCTTCTAACCTTTGGATCTGGAACACGATTTAATTCTGGAAGGCTATGGCAGAGCTGCAGATGCTTGAACTGAAATGGATTGTTTCGAGCACCTTCAAAGGTTCTCATAATTTTGTCACTCATCCATTCAACCTATGGATTAAAATTCAAATTATTTCATTTATTTTCAGAATATATTGAATTCAACATCAAATGGAAGGATTAAGAAATATTTCTGAAATAGTACCATGTGTGGGTAACTGAAGTAAAGACAATTAACTAAGAAAATCTTTTTATACGTACATTTTGTAAAGAAAATTTTAGAAAATTAACTGAAATCTGATTGAAACTTAGAAACACTAAATTAAATAAAAACAAAACACTTCCATCACCAAATGATGTATTTTATTCATCTATCTTTTTTATTCTAATTTCTGTGTCTATAGACTGCTAGGAATGCTCAATTTCAAGACATGTACAGAGAATGCATACATTATATTAACCCTATGTGCACAGGCAGAAGTCAAAGTGCACATGTGACTACTTTTATAGTTATAATCAAAACTTAATTAATAAAATTTACTATCAATGTATGTCAATAAACTTAGCATCAAAACAGTTTATAATTCAAATTTTAATGTTATGCAAGTTTTTATTTCTTAATATTAAAAGGAATTATTTCAATAAGTTCTCAATCTTCACTTCTCTGTATCACATGACAGTTCTTCACACCAAATTTGCACATTTTAGATTTTTTTCTACCCCCCAACATGATCTACTGAGTTTTACAAAACTTACATGTATATCATAGCTAATGTGAAGTCACAAAGTAAATATATAACCTACAAGCTTCTTGCTTTATTGATGTATAAAAAAGAAGGTCAAACCCATATGCTACACCCTCCAATCATGTCCTGTCTTTCAGAGAATGTCAGTAATTTTCTCTGACGTTTGCCATTGAATTATTTATAACCAAAAAAGGAAATGAGGAATCCACTCAATTTCTGGAGGCCAGCTAATTTCAGATGAAGGATTTTGAAATTTTTGGCCTCATTTTTATTTGTGTGTTATCATGGAGACGATCTCAACCAGCTTAGTTAGAATGCCGATTAAATTATAATAGTTTTAGGACGTTATATATTTTGTACATGCTGATTTTTTGTTTTCTTAACTGCATATTTGAAATAAATAAAAATTATTTTGATCTGCCATCAATCATACATAAGAACTATATATATTGTTTTTTATGTATACTTTTTACTTAGTTATAAATGTAACAAAAATGTTAAAATTATATATTTATTAATTTAGATAATGAAATTTAAATAAAAAAAATTAAAACTTTTTCATGAGGCCCGTATGTAAGCTGCTATTGTTTGTTAGGTAATTCAATTACTGTAACTTGCACTAAGTTTTTGCCTGGTAATTTATTGCTTTAAGTTATACATGAAATACATGAATCAAAGAGCAATAAAATAAAAAATCAAATTACAACAGATATAAGCTGTTTAGGATAAATATTTGTAATTGTATGTTACAATCTCAAGACATTCTAGAAAGCCCCCCAGTGGCACAGCGGTATGCCTGCGAACTTACAACCCTAGAAACCGGGTTTCAATACCCATGGTGGGGAGAGCACAGATGGCCCATTGTGGAGTTTTGTGCTTAATTACAAACAAACAAACATTCTAGAAAAAATTGCACTTTCAATTTTAGTTCATTTTTTTAACTTTTCATTACTGTTAATATTAAGACAGAGAAAAACAAATAAAGTTTTACTGAAGAAAAACTTTAGACTTTCATTCAGGTTCTAAAGATTATGCAAATAAAATATGAAAACTAAGATGAAAAAAATGATTTTTTTATTCTTAATATGAAAAATCAATTTGCACTCAAACTAGTCAGTCTGGCTCCATAAATCCACATACAAATCTTTAGCAAAAATACTTTATTAAAAATAATAAGTATTTTGCCAAAAACACGTGTAATGTTTATTAAAAAGACTTACTAAATTTTATGAAGACACATTTATAAAATCAAAATTATAGTAAACACTGTTACATTTAGCTTCACAGAAACAGGGGTTGGTGCAATGCACCTACTCCACATATGTAAACTTACAACTATTTTCTAGCCTCACAAATCATTACAATCCATATTGCCGCATCTAGTCATATTTTATCTGATAACCATTCATCTTGACAACAGCCCTCCGGGCAATGTTTCTATAGCAAAAGGCTCCAACATACGACTCTGAAGTCCAAATACACCACTCCACACAACAAACTTTCTATAATACATCTAGTGTATGAGAACAACTGTTTCCCAGTGACTGCTTCATAGGTGTTGCACCTGCCAACTTCACCAGAATGTCTTCATGTGGAATAGCATGAATACTTATTTAATCCTCCAGCTGCTTAAAAGTATGCAACAGTTGAATGAGGGATATGACTTGAAGCCTTATCTTGGTGAAACCATAAGTGTTGGCTACACTTTAATATAAAAGCTGGTATTTCTGTGTGGTAGAAAGGAATCCAAAACACTGATCTGATAATAAGCAGAGTTCACTTTGACATTTTTATCCACTCCCTTTTTTTATCCCTAACTTTCCCATGGAAGAGTATCCAGAGATAATCATGAATCCTTTCAAAAAAGGTCTATGATATGATGCCTACCATTTTTTTTCACACACTGATCAGTAGAAATTACATGAGACTTGTTACAGTTATCAAGGTACACCTATCCTTTATAGAGTGTTACCACATACTGCCATTTTCCCCTAGATAGGTACTGTTCATACAGTTTTCTACAGTTTATCTAACTTTGGATACAACATAGAAGTAGCTTGCAATATTTTTTAAGACAGTGATCTTTCTTGATTTTGTTGATTATTGTTGCATGAGACACATGGACAGCTTTTGACACTGATTCTTTGTGTGCATGGATTACCACCTTTTACAAGATGCCATGTTTTGCTTACAACAACTTGCTCCAAGTTGATCCAGATTCCTTTGTTTTCCAATTTTATTAAGATCAATGCATATCTTCATCCTGTAAATTCTAAATCTTCAATATGAATCCACTTTATGATCTGAGTGTATGAATATTTTGTGTCAGAAAAGGAAATTACATACCCTTCGAAATGTGATAATCAATTTTTCATGGCATCATACTACTTATGAAATGCCAAATATTGTCAAAATGTAGATCTGATACATTCCACCATGAATTTCTATCGACTGTAGTTGTCACTGGACTTGCCGATTTACATATTCAAATGTCTGTAGAATTGCCTACATCATACAAATAATCGTTACTGAAGTAAACACTTAATTATATTTTATAAAATTACATTTTATTTAAAATATAGCTGAACAAACCTGTGATTTTGCAAATTCCACTACATTATAGCTAACATTGTTAAGTAATGCAAGAGAGTAGGCCATCAACCCAGAATCTTGGTTTCTCCAGAGCTGGTCCTAAAAAACAAGAAAAAATTAACATATTATGAATAGCATAAACTATTTGTTTTGAAATAATTGTGATTTCTAACTGCAGTTAAGATAAAAAGAAATAAGTTTTGTCTAATTTGTCATAAGAGTCAAAAGTTCCATGTTGATGAAAATTGTCTTCTATCTAAAAATGTAGCCAAGTCATTAAGATGATAGCAGTCAATTAATGAAATACATGGTTAATCACTCAAAAGAAGAAACTATAAGAAAATATATAAACAACAGAATTTTGTAAAGATTGCAAAAAACAATATAAATCGAATTCTAGTGGAGGTGAGGATTTATGTACTTTCCGCTGGTCTGCTGAATAATTGTCAGTAATTCAACAGAAAACTATCACAACATAATATCAGACACTTGAAATCTAGAATATATTTGAAATTTATAAAAACAAACAAAGGAAAAGGTTAAAATTTTCACATGTAGAGAAAATAATTTCTAAAAATCACACCATTAGAAAACTTGCAAAGCAGGTTTTAATCATACATGGCCTGATACGTATAACAAGTATATTTCTATTTAACTCTCTCACCATGAGGTCGGTCACACTGACCAGCTTCATAACTATTTTGTACTTGTTATAGTTTTTCCATATTATAGCTTTTAACTCTTTTAACACAGGCTCGATCAATTTCACCAACCACATGACCTCTTTGTACTCGATTAGTCTTTATAGATGTAATACTTCTAACTTTCAATATAGTGTGTATATCATTCATAAAATTTGGCAGTCTTTCAGTTACTATTATAAGTCTTAGTAAAGTATATTTAATAAAATAAAATAAAGATTTGTCCATGAATATACTGAGTATTTGTTTTGAATAGTCCGTGTGCAAAGTAATTTTCATGTTAAAATTGAAAATACTTTTCATCATCTCAAAAATCTCAAATTTCATTTGTGTAATCCCTAAAACCTCCTTAATGCATTTCAAACGTTTTTTTTTTAGTAAAACTTTATAGTTTATGTTATTTTCTCTGCAGTATCTCAAAACAGATTCAGTCAATTCGACTGACCTCTTACAATAAAAAAAAAATCAAAATAAACTAAATCACCTTTTTCTTCTTTCTAGAATGACTTCAAATTGTAACATGAAACTACATTCGTTTATCCTAAGTAGCTCTAAATTCATAACAGTATACATCTATTTATAACTAAATTTTATTGTTTTATTGCCCTTTGAACCGTGTCTAACTACTATCCGTGCCATTATAAGTTGTAAATCACTGGGGGAACATGCCTCGTGAACCATTTTATTTATATTATTATTAATCATTTAACCTAATATAGTCATAAATAACTTAAAAAGATCCAAATTTTTAGATTTTAGTTATTTTTATAGTAATAAATATAGAAAAAGAAAAACAAGAAATAAAGTACTTACCCAATCTTCTTCTTCTTCTTGTTCTCAGGTTTTTGACGAGAGCTAACCCCTACTTTTTATACCATAGGTAGTAATGCACTTAATAATCTTTATTTAATTAAATAATGCACCAAAGAATAGAGATTAATTACATCCAAAAAGTAAACAAATTAAATTCTAACTATGCAACAACAGTCGTTACAATTTCATCCAAGCTAGTTGTTAACTTTCCCACAGGAACAAATCTTTTTCTGTGAGTGAACTTGATGATATTCTGTTTAAAATACAAGATTATACAATACGTTATTTGATAGATGAAAACCTTGACTTTCTCTTGGTTATAGGTAATACATAATGAAACTTAAGAGAGAAGTATCAACGAATTGTGAAAGAGGATGTGACAGGTGGATGTGGTAGGAGGGGTCTGATTTTCTATTCGATCTCTATAACCAAACAAGATTAAAGACTATAAAAATTATGGTCTGTTTGAGCAATAACAATTTTATAGAGTATCTTGATTTTCATTTCGTACTTTTTCAGGGGTGATGGATAAAATAGGGATGATGACATGCTAAGAAAAAATGTGTCACATAGGTCACACTAGTAGAAATTCAGGATTTTTTAAAATATTTCCTTGTAGAATTAAGAACTTAAAACTTGTATGCTATTAAAATATGGATTATTAGCTAAGATTTCATGCTATTCTAATTGGTGTAATATAAAGAAAAAGTAGTTCAATAAAATTTTGAATGTAAGACATTAAAACCTTATGTCATGTGCAGTGAAGGGTACCTGGGGTGATAGGGTTAAAACAGAATGTGTATCTTTACAAAATTTGGCAGACTTGCTATACACATTACAAGTCTATTGTACACAAAAAAATCAATTATTAAATGACGTATTTTTACTACATACTTGTCCATGAATATATCAAGTTTTTTGGGGTTTTTACTTGTCCAAGTGCAGTGGTTTTCATGTTAAGATTAAAAATACTCTTCTTCATCTCAAATTCATATGTGTAATATCTAAGACCTGCTAGACAAATTTTAATTTTTTTTCAGTAAAACTTTGTATTTTATCTGTAATTTTCTCCACCCAAACACTATACAAGGTTGGTCAATTTGACCAACCTCGTAACCACAAAAAAAAAAATGATATAAATCTAAATTACCCTTTTTTATTTCTAGAATGACTTCAAATTGTATCAGGAAACTACATTTGTTCATCCTAAATAGCTTTAAACGCATAACAGTATACATCTATTTATACTTAAATTTTATTGTTTTATTGTCTTTTGAATTATGTGTAACTAATATTCATGCCAAATAAGTTGTAAATCATGTGGTGAACGTGCAGCTCACGTTACAGTATCAAATTATGTAATGCACAGATTACTTGCAAGCACATACTTCATGAAACATTATCATTCTTTATTTTACCTTACCGAAACTGAAGTTTCCAATTTTTACATTTTAATTACATTTATTATAATAAATAAAGGATACACATAAAAAACAAGAAATAACATACTTACCTTGGTCTTCTTTTTTTATCCCTTTGACTGTCAATGACACTTAGCCTTACTTTTTTTATACTAATGATACTACTGCACTAAATAATTTTTTATTTAATTAAATGATGCATTGAATAACACAGAATAATCACATGCAAAAAGCAAACAATTTCCCATAACTATCACAATTTTCCTGGTTTCTAACTATGCGACAAGATCTGTTGAATATTCAGCTAAATTCATTACTGTGTTTCCCATGGAAATAAAGTTTGAACTGAATGCATGACTGAGAATTCTCTGTACAAAAAACAACATAATATAATACATCACTTAATAGATTAAACTCTTGGCTTTCTATTGGTTATAAATAACATAGTATTAAATGTCAGAGAGAATTATTGGCAATTTCTGAAAGAAAGGATATGAGAGGTGGGCATGGCAAGAAGGGTCTTATTTTCTATTCCATGGCTCTGTAACCAAATAAGATTGAAGGCTATAAAAAGTATGCTTTGTCTAAACAATGATAACATTATAATAAGTAATTTATGTTAAATTTCATACTTCTTGGAGGGGTGGTAAATACATTAGAGAAGAGGGGATACTTAGAGAGAAAATGTCACAATTATCATATAAGGGGATATTCAGGATTTTCTTTAATATTGCCATATAGAATGAAGAACTTAAAACTTGTATACTATTACAATTTGGATTATTAGCTATGTTTTCATGACAGATTTATTCATATCATGATAAAAATGTAGTTTAATTAAATTTTAAATGGAACTTACTAAAACCTCATAATAAAAATGTAATAAAAGTGGTATCACAGACTCAGAAGAGAATTGTTGAAAACACACAGTTCTTCAAGCCAAAATTAAACAGAAATATACTGAAAACAATAACAACAATAAAAAAACCTACATACCAGCATATGCGCAAGTTCAAGCACTCTCCCAGCTGTGTCTACTGCAATTAACACATTCCCACTGTTCCTCAATGTTTGAAGTATGTTAGCTGTTTAAGACACACAAACAAAAACAATGTTAACACTAATTTCAAACATTATGTAGCAGAAAATAATTTTTAGAACATCATAAAAAAGTCTAAAGTCTAGAAGGCATGTGTAGTCATAAAAAAGGTAAGGTCAACCTTGGTATTAGAATATTTTAACCCTATCACTTTGGGCTCATGTAATACACACACACGATAACTTTGAGTTCTCTTAACGTATTCTCTAAAAGACTGGTAAGATTTTCTTAATGATCATAAGTGTCTTGTAAACAAAGAATGAAATATGTTATTTATATACAGTAGTTACTATTAACAAATTGACTGCAAGGTGATTTTCATTTTAAGTATAAGATATTTTTCTTCATCTTAGTTTTCATATTTCATTTGCATAATCTATAAAACCTCCTAAAAAAATAAGTTTTTGCAAGGTAAATATATATATACTTTATTTACCATTTTCTCCATGATATCACTAACTCTAGCTATTATTATCAATGTACAATGCAATGAAATAATTAAAATTAGGAAATACAAAAAACACGTACCTTTCAGTTTTTTGTAGAATATCTTCAAAGATTTTCTATTTGTTAAATTCATAATTTCAGATCTTTTATTTTTCACATATAGTTAATATTTAATGTTTTATTTTCCTTTCTTGTCCTTTACCACTTATTATTCATTTCAACACAAGTCAACGGTGCCCTTGAGGCATATTACAGTGTCTTTGTAGACATGCACAACCTTTCGGCAAAATTTTTGGTGTACCACGTAATATCATAAGCCTTGAGAGCTGACGCAAAGTAAGATGCATATTTAAAAAATGTCTAAACTTTTCAATTATGCATTTTAAAGCATAACTAACACATAATTAGCTAAAATATAATATAAAATCTAAATACAATTAAAACTATCATTAATTATAACATATTTAGGTAAGAAACAACTGTAAGTGCTATAGTCAATCAATCAGCTAACAATACTACAATTGCTAGATTATAGTGTAAAATGAGCTATTTCTAATGACTATACACGTGTATGTAACATCTACATGTAGGCCACAAAGCTAAAACAAATCTGTTGAAGGTGGGTGTGGCACTTGTCAGGTGTTGACAAAATTTATTAATTGTTTCAGCTGTATTCATTCAAAAACTTTGAAATGTACAAGTCAAAAGGCTATGTAACCATTTTAGAGTTTAGACATGCCTCTACACAACTGCCATTGTATTATTAAAGATACAGAAGTTATGTATTTTTAAAGGTTCCTTTTGAAATAAAGGACTTAAACCTTAGATGACATAAAACATCAAATCATAACATACATTATAATGACAATTTCATTCAATACATTGATAATAAAGGTGTATAATTAAATTATGAATGTAACACAGTGGCTAGTGCAGAAAAGTGTTTAAAGGGGTACCCATTGCAAAAGGGTTAAAAAAAGCAGCTTATACTAACAGAAGCACGTTAAACTTAAAAAATAAGAGCAGAATCAACTTCATATATATATATATATATTTTTCATTATAAATTCATCAACCTCTTTGTTTGTGTATATTTTCTACTGAATAAAACTTCAAAGTACAATTTCTCAACTTATTCCAAAAAACCATACTTTATTCTATCTCTGAAATACTTCTCACTATCCTAATACCTTTTACTTTCTAATATTTAAATTCTCCAGTAAAGTTAAAAAAAACTCACTCATTAACTGTTCATCCCTTTGTCTTCTACGTGCTTGGTTGTAAGCAGCATTATAAGCATCAGTTATGAGTAATGAAGGGCGAGTTACACTTTCAAGAACACAGCCATTTAAATGTCGTTCCTTTTTATGGTTGAAATCAACAGCATAGACAATGTCCTCTTCACCATCTTTAATTATTCTCCAAATTGTTCCACCGATCATGTGACCTGCAGCAAGTGGTGTCACTGAGATTCCTTGACCTTTGCCTAATGTAAAACATTGCTGGATGATTAAGTTGATGCTGAATTTTTCCATTTAAGTTCCAAACAGAATCTTTCTTTATCATATCAGTTAGACTAATATTTATCCTTCAATATTTATATGACTAGAATTAAATGATCTCAGTTAGCATTATACAAATCTATCACACAGTATGAGCTGTCAGTCATATAACCTCCTTTGAGTAAACTGACATTATACAAGTCCACCATGTTCAGAAGTGAAAGTAGAAATTAATGTCACCTTTCTGTGATATTTTGAACATTTGTGTGCAGGTACTGTGAAATACTGCAGAGCCAGCATAGTCTCTAAGAAGTACAAGTCTTAGTGGAAAGTGAGCAGAGTTCTAATGATCAAATATAAATATCAGTCAGAGAAGTTTTTCATTCATATAAAAATTGGATGTGAACTTAACCTTTTTGCTTAACTGTACAAGTCCAATAGTTATAACTTAAAAGTTGAAATATCGACATTATTTGGTGTATATTGAACAATGTACTTAGTTTTACAAAGGAATAACTACAAGAAGTAAAGATTCAAGATTTAATCCTGCCTAAAGTTTCAGAAAAAATAATGGAATTATATAAAATAAATGAAAGATTAAGTTGAAACTGAGAATTCACTGAAATAACTTAATGGTGAAATATTACAATTGTGGCTTTGGTTTGTTTTGAATTTCACATAAAGCTACACAAGGGCTATCTGTCCTAGCCATCCCTAGGCTACAGGGAAAGCATCTATTCAATACCAACAACTCTTGGGCTACTCTTTTACAACAAATAATGGGATTGACCATCACATTATTACACCCTCATGCCTGAAAGTGCAGGCATGCTCAGTGACAGGGATTTGAACCCATGACTCTCAGATTGCGAGTCGAGTGCTTTCACCTCCAGGCCACAACTGACTTTTAAATTACTTAACTGTTTATTTGTGCTTGTTTAATTACTTTATGAGAATTTAACTCAGTAAATCAAATTATATTATTTATTACAATAAATAATAATGTCTTCTTGCAACTGCAATTTTCCATGTTTCTTCACTCAAACCAGTTCAAGGTTTAAGTCTACATGTAAAATGGTGAAATATTACAGCATTTGTGGAAAACAATTTTTAAGTTAACAATTATATGCATTTGTGTTTAATTATTTTAAGATAATTTAACTTAATAAACCAAATGATTTAATATTGTAAATAATAAGTTTCTGCTAACTAGTATTTCTAGTTTTTCTTATTCCAAACCAGTGTAAAGTTTTAGCCTACATGTAAAAATTAAGATACTTTTACAGCAAACACCTCACCTTTTAAACTGATAGACTGGTTATATTTCAACTGAATTATTTTATCAAAAGCGGCATCAACATCATCTAAAGTAAACAATTCAAAATTCTCACTATTGTGTCGAGACTGAAAAAGAAAAAAAAAACTGGTGAGAAAAAAAACTTTCTAGAAAAAATGGGTGGTTTGTAATTTGCTTAAAACATGTCATAATGAAAATACACACCATTTCTAGTAGAAAGAAAATTAAGTAACCCAAGTAATGATACTTCAATAAAGGTACACACTTAAATAAATGTTCAATTATATGATCATAACATATATTAACAACAGATAATTGTATCTTTCCTACATAAATTCACAAAAATGAAACAGTTACTTAAGACAGCTTTTCTGCCCATCATGAAAAACTTACGGGAGTTTCTTAAAGGTAATTCAACTTATAAAACTAATTCTTTTGTTCATTTATACACAATTTCTCCTCTTTTTCCTTTTTTTTTTGGAACTCACTCTATTTCCTGCAGTTTCTATTTAGTTCAAATTGTTTTTAAAATATAGAACTTGGAGGCACAGATAGAATAATGGCAACAAAACTACGATTTTAAAATAGGATGAATACAAGAAGCATGGCCTACCTGGTTCTTTGTTTACATGAAAAAATATACATATGGAATATATATATATAAAATTATAACAAAATATTTCTTGCTAGTGTGAAAGTTACAGAAATAATGAAATTAAGAAAACATACATATGAAACAAACATTATTATTTCTTGCTCCTTTTTATCCAACTCAAGATTGACAACTCATCAACTGTCTTTTTCTCTCATTAACCCTTTCACTGCAGCTGGAACATATATTTATCAGTGCGACTGGGACAAATTTTTTCCATTGTCATTCAAAATGACCATGCATGACATATGTAAAATGAGTTGGAAAGTATTTATTGGCATCCTGTCTAATGTTGATATATGGTTTCCCTCAATGTTTTCTACTCAGCTCTTCAGTAAATAACAAGATGCCTAAGCGGAATGTACGACAACTGCTTGCTGACCATGCCCGCATTGCTAGAGTGGTGAGTAGTAACCCTAATTACTATGTAAATATGTTTGATGCGCTTGAGTCAGATAGCTCAGAAGATAGCGAAAGTGAGACAAGTGGTGTTCAAATGTGTGATGATGAATAGGCAATGAGATATGAGGATGCTAGCTCTCCAGCTAATGATAATAGACAAGATGATGAACCTGGACTCAGCAAAGGACGGTGTAAACAGCGTTGACAATGGAAAACATTTGTCCCAGTTGCAGTGTGAGGAGGTGGATGCACTAGGAAATATACGTCCCAGCCGCAGTGAATGGATTAAAAGCCTCTTATCACTTCAGCAACTCATCTAAATTGGTTTTATCTGTATCAAACATTACTTATACCACAGTTAATTTTTTTCTCTTGAATGACTTCACAAACATTTTTCATTGGCTTTACTAATTAGGCAATATGAATTTGTACTTTTGCAAAAAAAATGTCTTCCTCCCCTAAAACTTACCCTGATCTTCTGCAAAGACACCTTCTTCCAACTGACAGGGTGAGGATGAAAATAGTAGGTTTGTGTCTTTGTAACAAAACAATGTTCCAGAGAGAGTGTTTATTGAGCATGAGGTTGCTGAACACATTAATTTTGCTATTTGAACATTTTCTGGTTTGTTGTCATTCGGCCTTGTAATATTATTTGCAATTCACAGAACTATGATTGTATTCAGTCAATGGTTCTCTCCACTTCATAAACACATTTTCATTTATATTAAATATGCTTTCAACATTTACCAAGTCAAGCTAGACTGGGCAAGTAAGTATTTTTTTTTTCAAGCTTCATAAAACTAGTCAAATAATAATCCATTTGTTTCCACATGGCATAATTTGCTCCATTCCCCTATCCACACACCATGTTTGTTTGATTTTTTACTTTATGTTACACTTTCTAAACAAAGAATATCAAGTCAATTCTACCCCCACAACATCAGCTTCTCTGTCACTAGTGTAGATGTGTCTCAATTTACAAAAAAAGTGTTTGCATGAGCTCTGTTAACTTTTTGAATCCTGAATAATAAGGGGAAAAACACTGCAGCTCTCAAAGAATGAGACTTCTTATGCACGTTAGAGAAAACAGCAGAAAAAAATAGGTACACATAAGAAATTAATATTTTTTCTCTTTAACCCTTCCACTTCAACTGCAATCATTATACTCCTTTCTGCACAAGTCACAAGATTTTACAGTGCTGCATAAAAAATTTAATTCAACAACATTACTATGAATGTATTCTAATGAAATTAGCATCATCATGTACTTTATAATTCAAAGCTTTATATAAGTTTGAATTCGTTTATTTCAAAAGAAATTTTCAAATAAAATTACTTAAACTTCAGGTTTGTTGTCACATGATGCACGTGCAATCAACAGTTCATTTACAATGCACATGTATGTCTAGGCTGTATTTAACCGTACAGCACTGTTTACTCGTTCTTAAATTCCATCATCAAGTCAGAGATCAGAAAAAAATACATTTCTTCACTCCAATGATAGTAGTTTTGCCCATATTTTTTTTATTTGGATATTTTATTTCAAGCAACATATACTTAGTGACATGTTTATAATCAATAGAAAGAGCTCATTTTAAACTAAATCTCCCAAATGTTATTTTAAAACCAGTGCTCAATATTCCTTATCAAGTACGTCAAACAGCCAAAGCATTGTTTACTGATTTCATTCTCTTTAGCACTGTCTCTCGACTAGATACATAGGTTTTACTTTGATATTTTAGTTAATTACACATTATTTATGTTTTAAAATTCTTATTTGAAATATTTAATCATTAATTAATATAATCCAAACTGTGCTCTGGTTTGCAAGGGTTAACTTACTACATGACTGCAAAAAATGTTTCTGAAGTTGTGCATATCTCACAAAGATACTGTACTATGCCCCAAGGGCATCCGTTGGCATGTATCCATAAAAAGTAATAAACTGTTAAGGTCAGAAAAGGAAAATAAAATATCCAAAATAAGCTACAAGTGAAAAAGTAATAACTTGAAATTAGAAACATAACCAAAAGAAGATATTTTAAGATTATTTGATGAAGAGTTCAAAAGTATGTACATATTTCTATTTGTTAATTTTAAACATTTCATTGCACTGTATATTGATGATAATAGCTACAGTTAGTGATAAGATAGAGAAAATGATAATATAAACATTTATCTTGAAAAAAATTTTGATATTCATTTAGGTTTTAGTGGTTATGCAAATGAAAAATAAGTATTTTTATACTAAACATGAAAATCACCTTGCACTTGAACTACTCAGAATGTGAGTGCAAATAACTACACTAAATAAGGAATATTTAGTAGAAATAGTTGAAAAAATAAAAATAACATATTTTTCTAATACATGTCTTTAGAAAAGTTCCTCTCAAGTTACAAACAATTTCTTCAACAAATTTAACTTTTCTCTTTTGCCTTTGTTAACAGAAAGATATTACTATGACAGGTCTTCACAGATGTGCTGTGGCTATTTGTCCAAGTTGTGATAATAACTGTAACATTAGTTTTCATAATTTCAGGTGAAAGATGAACAGTTGCTAGAACTTGTGTTGATAGATGCAAAAGAGCAGACAAATTTTCTCCACTCAATAGGAACAGTCACATGTGTTTGGACCACTTTAGTACTGATCTAAAAGCTGAACTAGTTGATTTCAAAAGCAAACTAAGATTAACCCTCTCTCTACAAACAGGTCAAAAAGGGCATGTCACAACATTTTAGTTATATTCAAAATTTAATTATCCTCATTGCCACGGGTATAGTTCACTGCACACGAAACAAGGTTTTAGTGTCTTACATTCAAAGTTTTATTAAATTACTTTTTGTTTATGTTATACCAATTAGTATAGCATAAAACCTTAGCTAATAATCTATATCTTAATAATATACAAGTTTTAAGTTCTTAATTTTATAAGGCAATATTTAAAAAAATCCTGAATTTCTCCTAAACTATGTTAAAATAAATAAGGTTGTATTACCAATTCTTACCTAAAAAACCTTATTAGTGATATGACTTAAGCAAAACTAATAATAATTACAATTCACTTGCTTAATCTGATTCATACCCTAACTGTTGTCATTCATGAAAATTGATAAATGTATGTAGCATCTAGACAAATAATACATCTCAGCTGGCCTGATGAGCCTTGATATTGGGTGAAAAGTCTCACTGGCACTGTATATAGCAGATTTAATATGTTTGCCATATTATAATGTGTTCTCTTTTGCTTTCACTCATGGGTTATTAGAATATTAACTCAAAAACACTAATCTAACAGCTTATTAAGTTTCATAAACTAGGACAGCAACAATGAAGGTTGGCTTGAGATATCTCAACAATCTAACATAAAATTTCATCGGTCAGTTGGTATTAATTTAGTGCTAACAATGGTAAATGTAAATGCATGGTTACCTTATTTACACATTCCACACACCTGAAACAAATCATACATAAACATCTGTCCCATTTTGTACACAGGAATAGTAGCATATATCGGACAATTCAAGCCACACTTTCCAACCATGTAGGGCAGTGCTCCCAAGTGTAAAACATCAGGATAGGAAAGAAGCACAGCATCCACTTGATTCATGTATCTAAGAATTGTTTATAAAAACTTTATAACTTGCAATTCACAATAACAGTATATCTAAATAACATATAATTGCTATTATTTGAGGTAACTTTTTCCTTTTTTTCAAATATTATTTTGGTAATCTTTATAACAACTAAAAAACTTAACAATCACTGTCAGGGGATCTCAGCCATTATAATTTCCTATAGATTAATATGTCCAACTGACATATATAGTGTTATACATCTTTTAAATTTCCAGCTAAGAAAAGCTAATTTAAGATATTGGGAAGTTATTTCACAAATGCATTTCATTTGTCATAACCAGGTAGGATTTTATGTTTAATACTTACAAGTAACAACATACTTTATACAAACAGAAACTGGAGTTCTAAATAGGGCATTTCTACAGTAACTACTCTATTTATGCATACTTTAAAACTTGGTAAGAATAATTAATTAAAAAGCTTTACAAACAAAAATCTAGCATTATCATTTTCAACAGTATCTCAAGCATACTTATTAAATACCTTTACTATAAATTATAATATCAAAAAACAATGTAATGTTTTATGATCATCTGATAGCTTAAAATGTAAATCTTCAAAGGTCATGATAACACAAGGTACTTGTCAGTGCTTACCTACAGGTTGACAATACAGCTCTGTGATTAGTGGAATTTTATAATCGATTAATTGTTAAGCTCATTAATTGATTATATTCAACCAATTGGAAACACTTATGACTCTTTCTACTACAATCTTGGCAGATACATTACTCTGGCACTCACACCATATGTAACATTTACATGATCCTTTTTTGAAAACATTTTCAATTTCAGAAACACACTAAATCCTAAATGGTTAGCTTTTGATTAGTTGATTATTTTTGTGAGTCATGACACGAACTGATTAAGATGAACAACCTTGAATTAATAAAAAATAACCAGAGATCATAATATCAATATTTTGATCACTTGGATAGTTGTAATATGGGTAGCGGGTAGCACTTAGTGCAGCTTCAGGGAGTAATGACCCTGCCCAGATCACGAGTTCCAGGCTCAGCTGGCTCCAGCTGTCAGTACCCAGTTAAGACCCCACACCAAGGAAATGATGAAGTCAGCGGCAGCAGGCTGATTGATGCTATCTCGGAGTGCATGGTAAGTTATGTCATTGATGGTCAGAGCATACTGGCAGGAAGAAGGATCATTTTGATCAATGGCTAGCAGTAACTATTGCAGTTAGCAAAATACTGCAAGTGATGGTGTCACTATAAAAATATCCACTAACAATCCAGGTGACAAGTTAAACTTATAAAAATCATTAAGCCATTCAAATATGATCTTTAAAACACAAATAATTAACTAAAATATAAAAGTAAAACCTAAATAAAGTTTAAACTGTCTCTCTAACTATAGCATACTTAGATAAGAAACCAACATAAGTGCTATTGTTGATCAAGCAGACAACAATACTACAAGCAGTTACATCTACTTCAATATGAAAACCGCACCAATTTCAAATTAACTGTTGGTAGAGTATAGTGGAAACTGAGCTCTTTGTAAGAACTATATACACTTTTGTCAACTAAGTATATGTATGTTGTAAATCTCACGGCAAAGCATAGAAGGTGGCATGGCACCTGTCAAGGGCTGGAAAATTTTCTTTCCCAGTGAATACAGTTGTAAGACTTTGTATCTTGTGTGCCCAAAAAGCACATAGATCTACACTGTCATCATACATTCATATATAAGGCAAGCTTATGTGGTTACACTCAGCTCCTGCTAAAGTAGAGATATTTCATAGTGCATGGATCACATGACAAAAAAATACAGTTTAAGTATCTTTTAAACATTTTTTTTTCAAACAGAGGAATTAACTTAGATAACTTAAAAACTCAAATTGTAACTTTCATTATAATGTTATTTTTGTTTACATACGTGGATAGTAAAATTGTTTAATTAAATTGTGAATGTAACTCAGTAGTGCATGTAAAAATGATTTTAAAAATGGCCTCATCCTGATAGGAATAAAGTAAAGATACTGAATAAAGTAAAACAACCAGATGTTCTTATGTTACCATATAGTATCAAAAAGAAACATCAGATGTTAATGTTTATATTTCATTGATCTATTATAAAAAACTTTTTTCAGGTTTTGTGAACTCAACACAAGAAATGTTAACAGCAATCCACTTATGGCCTTAGTCAACAACTTGTTATTTCTACGCTAATACAACAACATGAACGTCAATTAAACATTGCCATGGTAAATTCTGGCAGTTTCCCCCATAAATTTCGAGGGCTTGGATTTGTCAAGACACTAAAAATGTCACTAGACTTTAGAGATTTGTTTCATCAAAGACATTCTTGCTCAGGGCACATGCAGCTCTTAAAACATATTTGTTAAAGAATCAATTTTTCATTGTTTAGAAGTCAGAATTCTCACAAGAAAAATGTTTTTCATATTGTTGATGTCCAAAATAAACAAAAACAAGTGGTATTACTGTACATGTAACAACATCTTAAAATTTTCTGAAAAACAGTCATCCTTTTTACAAATGCTAAAATATAAATTCAGGCTTAGACGTTAAAAATTTTTGAAACATAATTAAAAAATAATTACAACTATTTAATTGTAAATAAAAAAGTTTAAATGTTTGTTTATGAATGTTTTTATTTTCATGTCAAATCACGTAACTACCAATAAAACTTTGAATTTGCTTTTTTAGGCAATCTAGTTGATTTTATTACTAAAATTACTGGTATGCAATGACAGTAATATATATTTATAAGTAGTGCTAGTAAAGTTCTACTTAGACTCCCTCCCCTTTACAAATTCCTGAATCCACCCCTGCTAAGGTGTAAAAATCTATTGTTATATTGTAATTTATAATTTTCATAACCGTATTAATTAGAACTAAATAATCCATAAATTTATTTTTCTGCACTGTGTATGTGCTATATTTATAATGCCCCACCTCATATTTTCATGAATTTATATACTAGTGAATTTATATATCCTGCACCCTAAAAAAGTATTTTTTACTCATTTAGTCATGCCAACGTTTTCACCACGTGACAACTTACAAATGATAATGTACAAGTCAATTTGTACAATAAGTTTCCAAGTTTTACATTTCAGTTACTTTTATAACAATAAACAAAAAATATACATAAAAAACAAAAAATTTTGTACTTTTGTCACAAATCTTACCTGTTTTCAAGCTTTTATACTCATACAACAGAAGCCCACATTAAACAGTATGCCTACTTCGCAGTAATCATAGTGTGGGATGAGAAATTTTTGAAAACTTCAAATAAGCAATTTAAATACAAGATATTCCCATGCATATGAAATACAATGTTCTAAAAGTAATACAATTTAGCTGGTTTTCTAACTAAGCTAGAAATGGGTTGAATATTTTAAATCAATGCCTGGTCAAGCATAGTTTCCAACATTGGCAATGGAAATGACAGGGAATTGTTCAAAATCAATTATTTCAACAGTTACAAGCCCTGTCACGTTCAGCAGATTTAATCATTCTCTTTCTATTGGTTAGAAATCATCCATCAGCAAATGTCATAAAGAATTAATGACATTTTTCAAAAGACAGTTTCATTTAGGAGTGGTATGGCATGTGGGTTTCACTATATTGCATATATCTCAGTAAAGCAAGATTGGAGGCTTCAAACTGAGGTTTTGCCTCGGGAATATACATAAGTGTGAAATTTGTAGAAAAACTTAGATCATATGGCAGCTGGAAGAAAATCTAAAATGGTCAATTCAAAGGGAAAAAAGTGTCATGTGATACAGTGAAGTGAAGACTGAGAATTTATTTAATTATCCCCTTTAGAAATTAAGAAAATAATGACGACATGCTTCAGCCTGAAGCACACCAGGTAGCTCTCATTAAATTTTGTTTCAATAATAAAACTAGCAAATAAAATTTATTAACTCTTCCTCTCCAGCTACCCTTTTAAACACTTTGCTATGCAAGTTACTGAGTTATATTCAAAATTTAATTTATCACCTTTACTACCAACATATGTGAATAAAATTAACACTACAATGTATGTTTTATGTTATAAGTTTTAATTCCTTTATTTCAAAAGAAATATAAAAAAAAAACACTTAAAACTTTGGGTCTTGTTGTCATGTGATCAACGATCTATGAAAAATCTCACTCTTTTTTAACCCTTTTGCAACAGGCTCGGAATAAAATGCACAAGTTCATATACACATTTGCACACATTAAATATTTATACTATAACTTTTAATGCTGTATGTGTATCTTCACAAAATTTGGAAGACTTTTAGTAATGATTACAAGTCTTCTCTACACAAAATATCAGATATTTTAATAAAGTAATGTTACTAAAGTTCTGTTCGTGAAAATATTGAGTCTGTTTTATTACTAGTCTGAATGCGAAGTGATTTTCATGTCATGATTAAAAAACTATTCTCTGTCCCAAAAATCTCAGAATATTTGTGTAATCTCTAAAACCTTTTAAGTACATTTCAAATACTTATTTTCTGTAAAATTTTATATTTTGTCTGTTATTTTCTCTACTCTAACTACACTGAGTCTGTCAATTTGACTGACCTAACCATCATAAAAAATTCTAGAATGACTACAAATTAAGTAGCTTAAATCTCATGATATTATACATTTGTATAATATTTTTATTATATTGACCTTCCAGTCATGCCTGGCTAAAAATACAGAAGTTACAATGATGTGGCACACATGCACTCATGTTATCATATCCAAGAATATAAAACTGGCCTTAATAAAGAGACCTGTCTTGGCTGTGTTTTAGAGAACTAGTATTCTGTAAAATAGAGTTACATTTAAATTATTATACATTATATACGTATATAGAATATTGCTATTTAGAAATAAGTTCTTAATCTTATTTTTCTTAAAACATAGAACAGTAAATAAAGAAGTAAAGAAAACAATTATATCTTCTAGTTATTTCCTTTGTACTTGGTTGCTGGTTGACATAGGTTGCCAAGTCTTTTAAAATTTCACACATGGAGTATGAAACAAAATATTTTTTTAGGTTTTATATACACAGTTGAATAATCAAAAAATCATAAATTACTATATCAATGCAATAGAATTCCACAAAAATTTATTACGCTTAGTAACTAAGCTGTATTTTGGTCTTAAAAAATATGAAATTTCGAGCATATTAAATACACAACCTACCTCCTTGAAATCTTGTTTCAAAAAAACGAGATGGCGTCCTAACACTTGAAAATGGCTGAGAAAGTCACTAAGGGGACATTCAGAGCTTTTGATTGGTTACTCATGTCATATACACAAATATGTGTATATATGGGACCATTTCCAAAAATGGAAAGTGGTGAGCGGGGTCACTGTGTTTGAATCATTATATGAGCAATATCTCAGCATATAGAAAAAATACAAAGTTCTTATCTTGTATTATAGCTTGTTAATATCAGTAATTTGAGTTTATAATTCATACGAAAGTACAGACTTTGTACTTTGACAAATATCTAATTTAAACCAGTGCTGGATTCAAAATACCAGGTGACACACAAAAATTGATGTTTAAACGTTTTTTAATACTTACTTTGTATTTTGGCATCACAAACATCTAATTTAAACCAGTGCTGCATTCAACATACCAGCTGACGTACAAAAAAAAAAAAGGTGTTTAATTTTTTTTAATATTCACTTTTAAATAAAGAAATTGAATAATGTATAATACTAAAATTTGAATTATAATATACAGTTTGTTACCAAATGTACTGAGATAAATTCATAAAATAGTAGTTCAATAAAATTTTTAATGCAAGTCAACAAACACAATGACATGGCCTTTGACCTGTGACCCATAGCGATAGGGTTAAGATAACACCAATAATGTAAATGTACATCAAGACATTAAGTATGTTTGGTTACCCTACTGACAAATAAGTTTCAAAGTTCTCTGTCTGAATGCAGTAGAAACAAATTAAATTTTGTCAACCCCTAACAGGTGCCACACCCACCTTCTATGCTTTAGCTTGAGCTTTCTAACATACACATGATTACTACACATATATGTATATAATCATTAGAAAAAGCTCAATTTATACTATAATCCAACAACAGTTATTTTGCAATTGGCATGCAATCATCTTATAGTACTGTTGGCTGCTTTATCCACAATAGCACTTAGTTTTTCTTAGCTAAATGTGTTATAGTAAGAGACAAGTTAAATTGTATTTAGGTCTTACTTTTATATCTTCGTTAATTATGTATTATTTATGTCTTAAAATACTTAATTAAAAATCAAGTATGATATTTGCCTATCAAAAGTGAAGGAATGATTTTGTATTACCATTGATTTCATGATTGACAGATGCATACCTGCTAAGATTTAAAGTAAATTGTTGTGAAGGCAACACATCATTTCCTTATAGTTCAATTAATCCGATATTTTTCTTTTTACATACTGTCAGGTTGGAATTTCTCAGACATATATAAATATCAACTTATGATTTATCAAATAAGGACCACAAAGTTCAGTACATTACATTATAAACAGTTTAAATCTATCATGTGTGTGTGTGTTTTTTAACTAGAAAATTCTTCTAGATACAAAAAAAAATACTTCCAGAACAATGAAGAGCATGATGACAGCTAAGATATCACTGACTCTTACTGGCCAAGCACCCACTAACCAACACCCTGATTTTGGTGCTAACATTAACCCACTGGTTACTGCTAAATGTAGAAAAAAATGCCAATTTCTAACTAGTGGGAGTATGATTGCCTTGAAATAGAAAGTGGAAATTCAGCATGTAATAGTACTGTAGTCTTTTTCATTTGTTGTTTGGAAAACAATACTTTACTACTTTGATTATGGGAGATTTATATATTCCCAACTGGAACTTCGTACTCGCACACTACCATGGTCAAGAACTATAATTCTCTGGGAATCCCTACTAAGAGTAAAACTGTTTACCAGTGATTGCATCTGCAAATACATGCACATTAAAAATTTTTCATGATTTTACATTAAATATTCCACTTACTTCTTAAGCTCTTTCACAAATCCCAAACTGAAGTTTTCATCCCATCCACAGTCCAACAACACTTTAAATTCATCCACTTGAAGAAGATAACAATGTGGAGTTTCATCGTTCACCCCAGACAGGGCCTGAAGTTTGATGATCGAAGTCATCCTTTCTAAAGATTATATTTTCTCATCTAAATAACTTGTCTTCAAATCAAGTCATAAAATGTAACCTTAATGTATGACACCTTCTACAGGAAATCTTAGTGTAAAAATGATCAAGTAATCAAAAATATAAGATTTCAAGACAGAATATTTTGCTAATAAGTAAAAAGTTATAATTTTCCTATACTGAAAATATATTCCCGATAGGTGCTTCCCTCCACTCAGAAGAGTAGCTATTATTGTCCAGTGCTAACCTCTATGTGAAATTTTTTTCTTTACGCATGACAGAAGCCTTCTGTCCACCCCCCAGTTGAATCAAATGATTCCAACATGTCTCTTATGCAAATCATCATGCATCATTTCTCCACCAATAGGAGCATGACACACTTGGGTGACACATGTGACTCCCTCGATACGCCTCTACCGAACTATCACCTCAAGGTATGGCAGAAGATGTAAGCACCGGGAAGTATCTATCGCAAATACATTTTCAGTATAGGAAAATTATAACTTCTGATATGGTACTTCCCTCCTCTCACAAGATTAGCTAGAATCCAACATTGAGAAGATGGCGAGACTGGTGTGAGGGAATGACAGAAGTACACCCCGAAAGTGTCCAAAGGATACTCATGGAAATAAGAGTCAGATACAAAGATCTGATGAAGGGAACTGCATCACTTCTGAACCAGGTATACTCTTCGCCCATCAGTGAAGTGTGTAGTAGATAAGGGCATTAAAATAGAAGAGTACATCCAACTGGGAGAGAACTGTGGAAGGATAGTGATACTAACCATTTAAATATATATGTAACTCAATCCCACAAAGTACAAAAGTGGGTAAAACAGTTGATGCTCCCTTAGCTGTAGAATCGCTAGAGCATGATAGACCGTACTTGGTAAGTCACCTACATCCAAAACCCATGATGCTGGGAAACAACATCCACGTGGGGGTAGGATGAGGACCATACTGTCTTCACCTAAAGTTCAAGAGACCTGAGGGAATCTAGAACCACTCTGACTCTTGAGCATGACATATGTGTTAGCTTTAATTTATTGTTCTGGGGACCAGACATCTGGTATTGAAAGTATGTCTATATAATAACATTACATCCTCAAAATAAGATACAATGAGGAATAGCAAAAAAAAGGACAGAACCAGAACAATCCCCCCCTTACCTCCACTGTGACCCACAACACAGAAGAAGTATGATCGAAGGAGGAATATAGACAACCATAAACATGTATGAGAACTTGTGTTGATTGGTTCTACCCTAAATCTAAAACCCAGCCACAGGGTACCAGCATCCATGCAGGGATACGATGAGGGCTCCCAATCAAAGGGGAGAACTGCAATTTGACATTTCATTCCTTTGACTGTACATTACATATTGGAAGATAGCACATCATCTACATCCACAGAACTCCACCGCCCTACTCTGCACTGAATGGTTATAGCCATCTTTGTGTGGAACCCATTCAGGAGGGTGTCTCCACAGTCAACCAACCCAGTGGTTTGGAACTGGAAAGTGATAAGGACTCCCATACCCCACTAGAAGAAGAAGGGGATAGAATGCGGTGGACAGTCCCAATGAATGTCATCACCTGAGACAGTGCAACGAGTGACCACGAAACCCTATTCTGAAAAGCAGACCATACTGAAATATTCAATACAAGTCCTGGCAGGGATGGGCAGCTATCCTCTTCTGTTTTACCCATGCAGTCCATAGGTGGTACGTTCCTGAATGGGCAAATTTAAGAAGCAATTACATCATGAGGTAAGGCACCTACAAGCAATCTTGTGGAACACCTCTTCTCAACAAAAAGCATGAGAAGACACCTGAAACAAATTCAAAGAAGAATAAGCCAATATAATCAAAAGTCAAACCTAAATAGTGAGGTAGAAAGGGAAAGATCCCAAACAGAGGAAGACTGCCCAGGGAAAAAGAGTCGGGAAACAAGGAAGAAAGATGTGTGGAAATATATCAATGAAGAGTACGAACTGAACATAGAAGACTATTCAGATCAAGATGTGGGTAGAGATGAAAAATAGGCAAAAAAGAGGAGTTACCCTCCCTAACCACCAAAGTCTTAGGGAGGAAGAAACAATCCTGATAAAGGAGAAGATAAGTAGGGTGTTAAAGCATATGTGAAACATCAATGGCACAGAAATCAGACCTTCAATGTTCACAGGCTAAGAGGAGAAGGAAATACATTTTAAGGGAAAGGTGAAACATGTAACACATGAAAAGTGGTTCAAATGGAGGTAAAGTGAGGGAATGGAGAACCAGATTACTATCCCAGTCCAGAAGAATACGCTGTCTGGGGGGAGAGCGACAAATCCAGAAGAAACACATTAACATTGTAAGAACAGGGGAAGCAAAACTTGACAGTATTGAGAAAAACAAAAGGTATGGAATAAGGCAGGCCAATAACCCAAGAGCAAGGAGAATGAAGACCTCGGGTCAAATATCCATGTGAAAAACTCCATCATTTGAGCCACAGTAAGTCAGTCAGCAGGAAATTCCAGAGTTGCAGACCTACTGCAGTGCACTTTTTATTTGCACTGACACACCTCCATTGAAGAAGGATGTATGGAACAAGCTAAAAGAAAAGCTACTTGATGGGAGAAACCTTATTTCCTTGCCAAGGACCAGATAAAAGCTAGGCGTGAAGACAAAGGACGCGAATGGTTGGATGTAGAACCTGTGACCAAGGTTGGCGAAGAAGGTAGGGAGACAGAGGAAAAGGTACTGGAGGGAAAAGTTGCACTTTATGCAATCATGGAAACCACAGATGAGCTAGCCAATAAGGAGCAATGAGAAGGACTCAACATGGAGTGGTGTGGATGAGAGAGATCACCTGATGAAGTAATCAGATAGGAGGATAAACACAAAGGAATTTGTGGGTCCAATCCTGGCTGAAGGCAGCAATAGCTAGAGCTTAAGGATGAAGGGTCCAAAAGAGGGGTAACTGCAAAGTCCCTGGAAAATGAAGAGATCTAAAGATCACTCCATCAGATATATTTGTTTGGGGCAGGAAAGATAATCTGCTATGTAATTAAAAGCACTCGGAACATGACACGCAATGAGATGAATGTGTTGCATGTGGGCCCAATATAGTAGATCCAAGGTTGGATGATTGATATATGGTACCACCGTAGAATTGTCAGAATGAAACATCACCAGACAATGTCTGGTGAGAGAAAGGAAATTAATCAAAACCCAATGTACCACGAGAAACTCGAGGACAATGATATGCAAAAAACTTTTCATCTAAAGATCAATGACCAAAACCCTCCTGGTGATTGACCGATGCACCCCAGCCTTGAAGGGATGCATCCATCAAAAGATGTAGATCCAGTCAATGAGGAGGAAGGGGGATGCCACCAAAGTATGAGCCTTACCCAACCATCAATGCAGATCATCCATCAGGGTAGGAGGAAGGGTAACGGGAGCTGACAAGGATACTGAGCAAGGTTACATTGACCATGAAGAGCCCACTGAAGGGATCGCATATGAGCAAAACCGAGGGGGGGGGACCAGTGACGTCATTGAAGACCATTTTCCCACAAGCAATAGAACCCCATGAGCAGAAAGTGAAGGAGCTGAAAGGGTGTGACAAACTAACAATTCCATAGAACAAAGTCATAAAAAAGGTTGGGCCTGACTGAGATGAGTGTCAAAAAATACACACAAATGGATGAAATATTGGGTAGGTCAGAGGAAGGACTTCTCCAATTTAATTAACCAGGCCACCCAAGCAGCCACTAGAAAAAGCTGATCAGTGTGGCTGGCCGACTCCAGTTTGAAATGAGCTAGAAAAAGCCAGTCGTCCATATAATGGTGGAATCGCAACCCCAGAGCATGGTGAGCAAAAGCTCTGACCACCCAACAGAAAACATAAGGGTGGAAGCAAGCCCATAGGGGTAGGGAGCAAAATTGATAAACCACCCTGTGATGGACAAACAGAAGATACAGATGAGATCGTGGTAATATAGAGATGTGGAGAAAAGCATTGGCGATGTCCAGCTTGGTCATCCATGAGCCCAGAGAAAACACCCACCATAGGGTGAGAAATTACTCCATGGTAAAACGGGGCAGTTGAATGAAGCAACTGAGGCAGTACAAATCGATGACAGGCCTCCATCCCCAATTTTCTTGGGAAAAACAAAGAGTCTGAAATAATAACCTAGTAAAGGATGTAGAACAGGTTTGATGGCCTGCTGAGATAGTAGTTCCTGAACAGCCTCTGACAGACACTGGCTGGTTATGGGATCCAGAGGCAGAGGGAAGGAAACAGGTATAAGACACATAGGTGGTGGAGAAAAATATTATATCACAAATCCTTCTGATAATACTTGAAGAACCCAATGATCTTTGACGAAAGGATGCCAGTGATAAAGAAAATCAGCAAGCCCACTTCCCACTAAATAGTCACCAATACTATTGGCAATGTGTCAAGCATCGTCGAATAAAACAATGAGACAAGGCACCATGAAAAGAAGGGACAGGTAGTGATTGGAAAGGGGAGGAACAGGAAACAGTAACATGTGTCATATCTGGCTTCGACTGAGACAAAAAGGTAATAAGTTTGGAAAGTGTACACTGTTGTTGTAATGATGCAACTCGAGGTTCCAAAGATTCAGGTCCAGAAATGGGGCGATACGTAAATCACAAAGATAAGATAGTGGTAAATGGAAGCAAGATAAGGTGCATCACAGGCTAGAAAGTCCCAACAACAGAGAAACCATGTATGTAAAGCCAGAGCCAATGTGGAGGAAAGAAGGGAGAGGATGTCCCCAGAAAACCCCTCAGAATTTCAGTGGAGAGCCTCAGAGAGGAGTTGGATGGTAGAAAGGTATCATAAAAGAGTTGTGAGAGTAAGACTAAGGCAGGAAAATAGGGCATGGGTCAGACTTACAGGAGATTCCCACTACCCTGTTTAACCTATCCATTGACCAATTGCTGTGCCATGCTGCCTTTCTAATCCACTAGGCACAAGTTGTTTAT